TATTTTCACTTTTTGTTGACTCGTAAATTCATAGAATTCCGTTCTGGTCGTTTTTCTCCAGTTTCAGAGTTTTTGGACTCGTTTACCGCCGAACTTGTTCGGGGTATAACTTTCTGCTCGGGACTCAGTTTTTGACGTTATTTCTTTTGTTGTTCAAATTTTATTATTTAGAATCTTTTTCGTTCACGGAGTTTTGCCGTTTGAGCACGTTTGCTCAAATTTTACTTTTCCGGACCTGGTGAGGCCCTTTCGGGGCACTTTTTAGATTTTCCTATAAAAGGGAAGTGAGATATTTCATTTTTGGCCATCTCCTTCCTTGATGAATGACCAGCAGCTCCCATGGCTGCCAAAAGGGGCTGCCACCCTTCTTCTTCCATTTAAACCCTCTTCCCTTTGTTAGAAAGTTGAAGTGCCTTTGCGTTTTGTGTTCGTATTGACTATACGCTTCTTTTACCCTTATTAGAACCCATTTCCGACCAAATTTTGAGTTTGGTTTTGAGTTCAAGTAGTGATTTTCATGGGACTTCTTTGAGATTCTTGTTCATGCCGTTGTCCCCGACAAAACCGCGAAGTATTGTCGGATTTGGAGCCGTTTCGTTTTGATGGCTTTTGAGATTTTCATCTCAAATTGAGGTAGGGGGTGTCTTAGGATTATATTTATGTTGTATTGATTGTTATATGAGCATATACAATTTGTGAGTATGTTTTGTTTAAGATTTAGAATTTAATTTAATTAATTTCTATATTTGAGATTTAATTCATATAGCTTGGTGTATAACATGGAATTAAATTGTGGCATGTTAGGAAATTAAGTTTTAGTCTGTTGATTAACATATATTAAATTTGGGGCATTTGGATAAGAATTATAAAAATTATTTAATATTTATCTTTTGTGAAAGTTTAATTCACATGGTGATAGCAACCATGAAATCATAATGTAATGTGATATTTGGATAGGCCTTGGTATATTCTCTAACATAGATTAAATTGAGGGCATTTGGAATTGTTTAAAAATCTAGAGGAAATAAATTAATTAGCTTGATTAATTTTGTTTTAAGTGTTTTAATCACTTAACTTGTCATTTGATGTTATATACGTGATGACCATGACATGTCCTTCAATATATATTAAATTGAGGTTAATTGGGATTAACTTAAAATTTAGAGAATTTAATTATTTATGTTTAATTAAATTCTACTTTATTACTCCATGGATTTAATTGTATTTTGGAAATTGTTTCTATATTTAAATCATGGATTTGAATTCGGTGTATGTTCACTTGATTACTTTTAAGCATTGGATAACATAGTTGTTATTTTTATATTCATGAGAATATGTTTTCCTTATTGGATATATTATTGCTATGTGTAAGGAATTGCGCACCTTGTATTTAACATTTTTCATGCCATAGTAGTTGTAAACTTTGAGCATGTATTGTATATGTTTCCAAAATTGGATTGTGCTTGGTAAATAGTTGATATCTTGTATATACATATTGATATATATACGTTGTTGCACAATTTGTTAATTTTGGAAACTTGGGGATGTCGTTGTTGGTTACGGCTAGGACTTGGTCCTAGTACGGGAGATTGTCCCTCTATATAGTCTAGTGCGCACATAAGGAGGTTACCCATGGGCTAGTAACCCTAAAGTAACTATGTTGTCGGTCTGATCCGGCGTGACGTCCGAGTATCCACTTTGTTTGATTTCGTATTTAATTTCAAGTTGATAACTAGATGATTTCGTAACTTGTTGTTCTTTGTTTGATTTCCCATTTTAAGTTGCAAGATGTTAACTTTGATAAATCATGCTTTAAGCGTTGTATTGGAAGTTCCAATGTTGGTTAAATTGTATCGATATCATAATTTGTGTTTTGATGGTCAAATGTAGTTTAGGAATGATCCTATAGATTCACTTTGAACATAGACGTTAGGTGGCATGACCCACTCTTATTGTTTTCGTATCTTGGATTTCAAGTTGAAGACTTTGAGAATCTATATCTTGTTGCTTTGTATAACGTGTTTCCATGTTATTTGAATTGCATGAACAATGTGATTATGCTAGAAATGTTTTAAGGTAGCTTAAGATGCTTCCTGAGTCTCATTTTGACATAGACGTTAGGTGGCATGAACTCCTTTGATATGTTTCATCTTAAGGTGATAAAATTATAAAATGTTAGGTCGATGCATGCTCAACTCCTACGAGTAGCTTTATGTTACTTACCCCTACGATACTGGAGCATATTTCAGGACAGGACTCAAGACTTGAAGATTTCATTGCCTTGGATCGTTTGGTAGCTTTATGTATCAAACTTGTATTATTTGATTCTACGTATGTAAAGTGTACATAAGTACACTCCTGTTAATGCATTTGACATGTAAGACATGAGGCCAAGGGCCAAACAAGTTTATATTTGCACTTGCATTCAATTGGTGCCATATTTTGCTTGAAAATGTATTTTTATCAATTATGAAGGCTTTGTATGTTAAAACTTGTTAATGGAATGTAAAAAGGCTTTAGGCCACGTTGGTACACATATTGCATGCACTTGCATACTCACTTTGGCAAACAACACCATCCTTGATGAAACAAAAACTCTAAGTAGCATTTTTAGGGATTTTACTCTATTATGTTCCAGGGGCATTTCGGGTATTTCACAATACGTTTTTTTTATTTTTCCTCATGATTCACGTAGAAAACTCAATTTTGAGGGGGGTTTCTTCTTTGTGTTTTTCCAGAAAATGCCATCTTGGCCCTCAAAAATCCATATTTGTCCGAAAAATCCTTGTTGCCAGGTTTTGCAGATTTTTAGTGCAAATGTACTTGGTACTATTCATCGACTTTTTTTGGAAAAGTGTGACGACCGATTTGAAACTTCCGGGAGTCTTGTGGGTGTATTTTAAGATTGCATTTTCAATTTAGGCAATTTAAAACCTCCCGAAGCCCTATTTCCTTTCTTTGGGTAGCAGCTCAGAGAAATTTTTACCCCCTTAACCAGATTTTCTCGGGGACATTCTGGGCATTTTATAATGCACTTTTTTTGTTTCTGTCTGCGATCGGGGTAGGAAACTTGATTTTAGGTGGGGTTTCTTCTTTGAGTTTTTCCAGAAAAATCCGTTTAGATGTCCGTTTTTACTCTCAGTTGCAGCAGTAGTGGGTTGACGGAACTGTAGTTGTCACGGCCTTCGTCGGGCCGCCGCGACATCGATTTTGTTTTTGACCTTTCTCCCTCATCCGGACTCCAAATCAAATGATTTTTTTTAAAAAAATTGATTAATTTTTCATTATTTATCCAACGGTGTGCTCAGTTGTACCCAGATATTTTTGGATAATTATCAGTTTATCCCTTTTAACTTTATTGCTCGTTTTTCTTTGTTTTGTCGTTTCTTTTTCGTCCGGAATCCGAATAATGAAATTCTTGAGTCCATCATGATTAGTTTTTCATTGTCTTCCCAGTGGTGTGCTCGATAGCAGTTGAATCTAATTTTTGCAAAATGACTATTTTGCTCATAGGTTTCTTTTTGTCCGTTTTTGAAACGATACTTCCGCATTTGTTTTCTTTTGGGTTCCATGAACTCATTGAGGGTCACATTGGTGTCTTAGAGACCCATTGTATCTCTAGAGACCGTTGTTTCACCTTTTACTTCCGCATTTCGAATCCGTTATCGGGTCATTTTTTGGTCATCACTGTTGCAGCGGGTTGAATCAAAATCCGAATCGTTACAAAGATTATTATTATTTTTTTTACTAAGATAGTTTAGTTATTCTAATGGTGTACAATTTACTTTCAATCTTGTAATAATTTAATTTGTCAAAAAAAGATATTTTAAAAATGAATACTATCTTTTTATTTCACCACAATGATTTAGTGAGTAATATAAGATTAAGATGTCTCCCAAACAGATAAAGAAAGGAAAGAGATCAAAAGGGGCCATAGTCAAATTGATAGTTTTTTAGGGAGAAAAAAAAAAATTTGATAGTTTTTAATACCATTATTTTACCATTAATGGTAAGTTTCTTATCTTTCACACTTAGTATCTCTAGAAATTTACGTTGTCCAAAAATGATTTCAAGAAAGATTTATATGATATTTGTTGTTGCAATCTTTACCAGGAAAAAAGGACAAAGTGAAGAAAAATAGGACCCCATTATTTTGTTTTGGATGGAAAATAGTCAAGTGATTGAGACAGCCACTTTGTACATCCTTTCTATCCACAAGGGCGCGCATCTTTGCAACTAAAACACAGTCGTAGATTTCCCCGCCTGTCCAGGCGATTCGGCGCGTCATCCCGTGCATTGTAACAGTATCATTTTGACACACCGACATAGGATCGAATCATAGCGCAGAGAAAAAATTAAGACCCACTCTTGATCAGGCGGACAATATCACTAAACTTATGATTCGTTGTATATTAATCAATTTACATTGTCGGTATCCATTATAGTGCGACCGCAACTGATATCGAAATCGGGATCTATACTACGTTAAAAGTCATTCCAAATCGACATGCTTTTTATCTTTTTATTTTTAATTTTTACCCTTTATTTATTTATTTTACCTCAACGAAAGTAGATAATTAATGATTTTTTTCTTTATTTCTTTTTTATTATCTGAATACTCAAGTAGGAATGACTAATAAGTATTGACTAATACCATATTTTTAAGATTAACTTGTTAAGTATATCACATACCAAAAATGCTATACTAGTAAAAAACAATGGGCGGAAAAAACAAAGGAAAGAGAAGAAAGAAAAAAAAGCGAGGGAAATGAGCTGGAGGGAGGATCTTCCTTCAAGGACAAGAGGCAGATACAAATACTGATAATCTGGGACTCTGTTTAGAGAGAGAAAATATATGGTTGACAGACTGCATCAAATCAAGAGAGAGAACCCAAAAGGATCACGAAATATCTGTGACCACCTTTTTGATTATATAACAATACTAACACTATAAATTCCCACCACTTACATTGCATTTATTCATCTCATTTTGTGTGTTTTCTATCTCTCTCTCTTTATAGTCCCTCTTGGTTAGGTATACATATATACATATATATATATATATATATTTATAATTTTTTGGTTTAAGAAAGAAACATATGGAAGGTTCTTGTTGTTCATGGAAGGGAATGATGGATGATGGGGACGAACCTCATGTACTGGCAGTTGATGATAACCTCATTGATCTCAAACTAGTTGAGAAGTTACTCAAGAACTCTTCTTGCAAAGGTAATTAAATATATAATCTATTGTCTTCATTATATTTTAATTAGGTGGGGTTGAATAATTAATTATTAATTACTGCTTTTATGAATCTATGTCTTCAATCACTCAATCTTTCTTCGGTACTTCATTAATCCATATTGTTTGTTTAAGAGAGAGTACTGTCTTTTCATTCACTCTCTCTCTTTCTTGTACAATGATGATCATTACTTGGAAGAGAACAAACTCTGTTAACATTTTTTTTTTATCACTTAATTATACACCTGACATTAGATCTCAAAGGGCAAATTTACCATTTGATTGTACATTTCTTGAAAGATAAAGGGTGAGATCATTCCATCACTAATGCATCGAATTTCATTGGAACTCATGTAACAATAGGCTATTAAACCTAATGGTATAACCTCTCATCTCTCTCAAAGAGAAGGTAGAGAGGTGTTCAAGTACTTACCTAAAAAAAAAAAAAAAAAAAAAAACACAACAGAAAAATAATCATGGGATTATTTCCATGCTGAAGATTCGAAAAAAGATTTCACTATTCGAAAAGCGGCAAATTACAAGTTTCAACCCTACCATACCATAAACCCTAAACACACCTCAAACCCTACCACACCATAAAACCTAAACACACCCCTTATATACTGAGTTACAATTATGGTTTGCAGTCGTGATATCGATTGCGGTATTCTGGACTCGGGCGAATATCAGTGTAAATCGGCCGACCAGTTCATGAAAGTGTGTAATGATATCGGATTCTTAAAAAAGGGTTACGAACCGGACGATAAGTTGCGTATCGACCTATAACCATGGTTACAATAGAGTCTACAACCTAAATCCACAACCCGCAAGAAAAATGAGTAAAAAAAATTCGGGTCATAGACGATCACGCGGGCGAAAACATATTTCGGACCGCAACTTCACAAATGTGATTCAATTACATACCAGTATCAATGTCTAAGTCCCATCTGAGTTAATTGGCTGGACAGGTCCTTTTGGATAATTATGGACCATTTTGGCAACTTAGATCCTGATCTGTAAATTCAATATAATGGATTTGATACTCATTTGAGAAGAAGATACTGTTCCAAGTTCATTTGAAAATTTGCAGTGTAGGAACAGTAAATGTGAAAACACTAGCAAATTAACCATCTAAACTATGACTGACACTTATACTAACGGCTCTATTTTCAGTATTCATGTAGTAAATGCATATGTGACATTAACAGGATATGCTAATTCATAAATTGCTGCAGTGACTACTGCTGAAAATGCATTGATGGCATTGGAGTATTTGGGCTTGGGAGATGATCACAAGAACAAATCAAATGGCAGTGTAAGTGGCTTTCTTTTGAAGAAAAGCAACATAACAACCCATCAAAACCTTTTCAACTCGTAGTCTAATTTTTTCCATTCTTGTGCTGTGTGTGTGTTGCAGGATTTGAAGGTAAATTTGATAATTACAGATTATTGTATGCCAGGAATGACGGGCTATGAGCTGCTTAAGAAAATAAAGGTATACTAAGTTCCGGAAACGGAAGTAGTACTGCATTTCAAATTTAGATTCAATGGCGTAACGTTGACCATAAATTTATAAATTGCAAGCAGAAGTCATCCAACATGAAGGAGGTTCCAGTTGTGATCATGTCATCCGAGAACATCCCAACTCGAATAAATAAGTAATTACTACTAATACACGTTGCATCGTTCTTTTCCCATTTTTTTTTTTTTTTTTTTTTATTCTTTCTATTTCTTTGGACATGTAGAATTAGTAATATATTTTCATTGCATGAACAGATGCTTAGAAGAAGGAGCTCAGATGTTCATGTTAAAGCCAATCAAACAATCGGATGTGAAGGAATTGAGACGTCGAATGACGAAATACAGAAGCTAAAAGCATTCTTGAGGAAGTTAGGAGGAGCATTTAGGAGTACCTGAACAGCTAGAGGAAGCCACATACATAACCAGTTAACTGAAGACCACTCAGAAGCATTCTGTTATTAGACCAGTTTGCTTCAGCAGGGAATTAGTTCATTTTACTTCAATTTTACCCTCTACCTCCATAGAATTCAATCACGAGTAGTTTCAATGAAATTTTCTACTATTTTTCCTGTTCGGTGTCCGAGAAAATTTGGCATAGAATGCTAATTAGGAAAATGAGGGTGGGTCTTGGCCCCTGTTGCAAAGGATTGCTCCACTGTGAATGGGTCATGAGTTTGAAACTGGAAACACTCTTTTCCGATGCAAAAGTATGGTTACATGATACATCTAACACTCCTGAATAACTAACAAAGTCTCGTGCACTAAACTAGTCCATCCTTTTCGGATGAAGTATGCCCTTTTACTACTGATTATGAAAATAGTTGTTATTTCTTTTTCTTTTTAAATTTTCCACCTTTTACTGTCCTACAACTTAACTTTTCTTAATTCTTATCTTAGTATCTCTTCATAATTCAGAAAAAAAGAAAAAGAAAAAAAAAGAAAGAGCTATATAAGGAAATAAAATGTACATTGCAATCAAACAAAACAGAGTAAATTTGATTCACAAACAAGAGTTCTATTTTTTGGTAACTGAAAAGGAAAAAGAAAAGAAATCAGATATGAATTGAATGAAAAAAGAAATAAGTGTGAATGGTGGATCAATAAAAATGCCTGTTGTGATGGTGATGTCTATGTTCATCACATCCAAAGCACTGCAAAACAGGGAAGCAAGCAAGAAACATGCACCTCCTAATCCCTCTGATTATGTACGAAACTAGATAAAATGGGATGCAACAGCACTCCACCAATAATGGATCACACGTGCCATGGTGATGGTGACCGTCGTCGTCGTCGTGGTGGTGGTGACCCATGTTCTTCGATCACCTGACTAGCCAAAAATGGTGAATACCCAGAAATCAAATCGCAAAACCAGGACAACCCATATGCTCATCTATGTGTGTGTGTGTGTGTATATATATATATTATATATGCTGTACACATATGTATAGAGATCAAGTTCATGTAAAATTTAGGTATAACTTTACCTGAATCCTTTGTATATATCTTTCTTCGGATTGCAGAAGATCTACAGCAGAATAAACATAATCACATTAGCAAAGATTTGATAACACACGTGTGTGTGTGTGTGTGTGTGTATTATATATTGCGAGTATATGGAGAAGTCTAGAAAGGTTGTGCGTACAAGAAAGAAAAACGTAAACAAGGCTGGCCAAGCGGCCGAACTGGGAATCGTAATGCAAGAGACAGTGTGAATGGTTTGGTTTATCTACCGACTGACCTTATGGTATTAAATTGCATCCACTGGACGCACCATCGTTGGATCTATACGTTACTTTGTGTGACACGAGATCGGGGAGTTAGACATAGTGTTATTTAGATGTATTTGCCCTCCAATAATATCTTCAGGCACTCCACCTTTTTCTTTTTCTTTTTTTTTTTTTCTCTCACAAAATAAAATTATAGAAAAGTCCCAAACTAACACAATAATATTATTTTTCTCCAATAATATTACGTTTTTAATACCATTATTACTTGTATTTTTTAAGATGGACAATATTTGGTGCTCCCTTAGGAGGATGAAGTTTATCCTCTCAACTCATGTGGTCCAATACAATTTGAACACGTGTCTAAAAATTTAAATTTTTAAAAAATAATCATTACATATTTTCTTGCTGGTTAAATTAAATATATATATATATATATATATATATATATATATATATATATATATAATTTTTTTTTCTTTTCAAAACAATCATCATTGTTTCTATACCCAACCTCCATATGAAATTGGAAAATACATAATAAAAAGAATACAAAATATGTGAGAAAAAATACATATTCGTATATGTGAGAAAATCTCATATTCATATAAATTAACATATTAATGGAGCGAATATGATATTAAAATATTATATGGAAATTTGATGTTAACCTCTATGAATAGAGTTTTAGAGGTTTTCTAGTAGGTCTAATTTTTGTCAACGCTAGATCTATGTTTTCCATCTTCGATATATATATATATTTTTCCTCCCTCGTGGGTGGAAAATACGCAGTATGAAAAGAACTATTAGAATTTTGTGAATACTGCAAATTCTGATTGGTACAATTTTGTGTCACTTATGAGTTTCGGTTGATTTGTATTGAGATGGAGGTTGTATATGGGGATTTGCAGGGAGAGAGAGAAGAAAGACCCTAAAAGAGGGATTCTAAAAAAAATTAAATTGGGAAAGAAAAAAAAAATGGATTTGGGCTTAACTTATAAGAAATTGGATATTGACCATTATTAGAAAATTTAAAAACTTGGATATGTGTTTAAATTGTATTAGGCCACATGTGGTTGAAGGATGAATTTCATCCTCTTGAGGTAGGACCCAAGTATTGTCCTTTTAAGATTAGGAGTCTTGTCTTCCTACTCTTCTCTCAGGTTCCTTACCATAAATCAATTACCCAAACAATATGGGTGTTGCTATATTTTATCACATTACGTAAAAGTGAATGAATTATTTTAAGAATGGACTTAAGTTGTTTGGTCAATTTCAAAGTTGCCTCCCACCCACACTCGCAACACTTTTGCTGCTATTGGGTCACCCTTATTATTCGGAAGAAGGCATCCGGAAACGTTCAGGCGGGATATTTGGCGTGACATTAGATCAAAGACTAAGTTTACGTCTGATATCGATTGTAACAGGCCAATCACTTCGTAGTTTGATCCAAAAACTAAATAACTATTAGGTGATACTAAGGCCAACTTCACTGGGGCTCATGAGTCACGAAACCCATTTTCCCATGAGTCCAATTTAACTTTGGCGACCCAATTTGCTTCAATGGGGGTCGTCATTTTGTGGGCCCAAAAATTGGGTCATGGAGTTGGTCGCCAAATCTGACGACCTAGTTGGCGATTGCGGGCCTGCAAGTAATTTATTTAATTTTTTTTTTTTAAAAAAGAGCTTAGAGCATGTGCTAAGGGCTTGTTTGGGTCAAAAAATAGCTAAAAATAAATTTTTTAGCCTTTTTTGTTTTTGGTCCCTGAATAATATTGAAATTAAGAGCTGTTAAAGGCACCATTGGGCTAACATAAATAGTTCCAAAATGGCTATTTTGGGTTAAAAAAATCAAACAAATGTACAAATAGCCGTTAAGGCACTGGTTGTGTCAGTCTAAAAAAAATTTCATTTTTATTTTTAAAAATAATATTTTTTTTTTTTCACGTGCAAAAAGACATCAATCCATAATGGATATTGTATTGCTTGTTTTTTAAAAAAGAAAATTAATTTGACAATTTGAATTATTTGTAAATATATTTGTGTTGAATTTTCTTTTTTTTTTTTTTAAAATTATTTTACTAAATAATTAAAAAATAAAAAATATTATAAAAGTTATTATTTTTGAAGAGCAAAAACACACCATTGTGGCACATGCAGAACCAAATTTTAAAATGCCATTGGAGTTGATCTAACACCAACCCATATAACCTATTTCACTTTAACACCAATCCATATAACTTATATTATTTTCCATCTAAATCGCACGTGGAACATATTTTGAAAGCTTGAAATCATCTGATTTGAAAGCTTGAAATCATTATTTTATTAGGGTTAAAAATATAAAACCCCTCCTATTATTTACAAAAATTATATATAACCCCCACAATTATTACAAAACTCCCTGAATTAACATAAACTATCACTTTGCCCCCTTTTCGTTACAGAACCGTTAAGTGACTGCGAAATGACAATATTGCCCTTGATAGTATATTAAATTTTTATTAAAATGAAATTGTGCATTTTAAATGGCAATTATGCCCCCTGTGTGAATCTATGTCGTATTGAGATGTATACCCTTCGTGTGGGGTTGTATACCCTCTGTGTGAAAACGATGTCGTGTGGGTTGTATAGAATAAACGATTTTATACCCTAAATTGTTGTGTTGTGTTTGTGTGTGCGCACTGAGTGTTATGGAGGCGAGTGTTAGAAACGAGTGTTGAGTATAATTATTGAAAGCGAGTGTTCTGTGTGTGTTTTGTGTCTGTAATCGCTCAGTGGTCGAAGATCTTGGTGGATTCTAAATGGTTTGTGTCATTGTGGTTTAGGGCTTCAAATAATCAACTTAGGGATGACACGGGCTGTGATTTAGGGCTTCAAATCATCAATTGGGAACTTCAATCGATCAATTACCGCTTCAATGAAGGACTATAACTTCTGTTACTAATGCTATGGAGGATACCACACCACTAAAACGAGAGAGAAGAAGATAACAAAACTGAAGCTTTGATTTGTAAAAGCCCATGCAATTTGTCTTATATAGAGAAGGCAATTTCAAGGGTTTTTTGGTCAGCATAATGCAGTATATGGTGCACGTGATGGTCATGTGATAAGATCCCGTTAATTTTATACGGTTAACTAACGTGGTGGAGATGGTGATATGTTATACTTTTTAAAACATGAAGGGGTACTATTATAGCTTATGTACTTGAGGGGGTTAGTAAATAGTTTTTATATATCATAGTGAGTTTTATATTCTTAGCCCTATTTTATATTCAAACTCATAAATGCCATTGTTATGGTCGCACAACTCTATCTATTTAGCAGAGCCACAAACACTTTCCAAATACACACTTGACACTGAATCTCTAGAAATCTTTGCACTCAAAAACTTAAACGTTGTGCTAATGTCCACTTTAGTCACTCACTTTATGATAATGTTTTATTACCATGGAATTGAAGTAAATGTTTTATTGCACGACTAGAAAGTGCAAATACAATAACCAGCAAGAACGGAAGATAAAAGACACCGAAATTTCCTGGAGACGAAAACTAAGCACTCCCCGTCTCTCTCTCTTTCTCACGTCTCTGTGTAACAATGGCGGCCATATTAGAGCCACCGTTTTCGAGCCTAGCATTCTCTTCCAATTCTCACTCATCACAATCGCTTCATAGTCTCAATTCGGTCCAAAAATTATCTCAGAAACCCAATTTCGTCCCCATTCACTCTCCAACCTACAACACTGTCACCACCACTACTTGTTATGCGAAAAACCTCGACCCGCCATCACCACTACCATCACCACTACCTCCACAAAACCCTAACTTCAACCCCGACATTTCCCTGGATGAAACCGGAGACCGCCGCAAAGTGGTCAGACTCGCCTGGGAGAAGTTGGTCCGCTGGTCCCGTTCTTGGCGCTCTAAGAAAAAGACCGACGTTCTTGAACAAACCAACAAGGTTCGCTTCTTTCTACACACATGCACACACACATATCGATTTGCATATATATATTCAGTGTGTGCTTCTTTATATGTTTATTCACTTTTATCATTGTTGTCTGCTATATATTTAAGGAATTTCATTCTTATGTATTTGCAGTTCTTATTCTTGATGAAATTTGTTGCTTCTTGGAATTCTAAGTTTGCAAGAACATGCATGGCCGGAATTCACTTTAACATTGTTGGCTGCTATTTAAGGAATTTCATTTTTATGTATGGTCAATTCTGATTCATGATGAAATTTGTTGATTCTTGGAATTCTAAGTTTGCAAGAGCATACATGGCCGTGTGTTCTTCCCTTTTAAATGGGTTTAATCCCTTTTCCCATTTGTTTCATGAGCCCTGAAAGAGAAAGAGTAGAAATGGATAATAGGGTACTTGATCAACTTATTTTCCAGATGCATGAAATAGAATCTGTTTCTCTGTTTGAATGGACATGCTTTGATTATGGAGGAATGAGTTGAGGTTATTTAGAGTGGCCAGTCATCGACATGGACTTCCATTGTCCAACGAATTCTGTTTTTGAATGGTGGGATTGCCATTGGCAGGGTGCATAATTGAGGTCACTGGTATGGTAGTAGTGAAGATGAGGCTACAGGAGTGATTGGGGGGGGTCATCATTCCATTTAATCAGTAACGGAGCAAGAAAATTATATTAGGGGTTGGCCTTGAACGACATGAAGAATATATATATATATATATATATATATATATAATTTATTATTATTATTTTTTTTCAAACTATCATAATAGACAAAAGAATTTAACATTAATTGATATTTTCATTGAGTACATTTACAATTTTTTTTTTTTGGCAAGTTTTCATATTTTGAGAACGCCATATGATAGCTTCTTTGTCTTGCAACCAAATATCTCTTTTTAAACATATACCCCCAAACTATGACTCTTCTATAGATCTCTTGTTGGATTGAGCAATCGGTTGTTCACAATTTTCATAGCAGAAAATGCCCTCTGTATAGTGGTAGATGCTAAAGGAAGAAAACGAGAAAGAGAGAGAGAGTCGATTACCATGGATGTGGGCAGTAGAGAGTGAGAAAACGAGAGAGAGTCTATTACCACGGATGTGGGGCGGTAGAGAGTGAGAAAACGAGAGAGTGACTCGACTACTTTACTTTCACTAAGACCCAAAAATATGGCCAAGAATATGGGTATTGAGTGGCGGCTTTCTTAATATTTGAACAAAAATTATAGGTTGTAATGTTACTTAAAAAAAATTCAGTGGGTTACTCATCAAAAAAAAAAAAATTCAGTGTGTGCGTCCACCCCCATTCTGCCCTTGATAGATCTGTCCCTGCATTTAATGGCGCTATGGTTCTAATTATATCTTTTTGCAGGGAAAAGTGTCTCTTCCACTGGTTAATGACTTCTAAATTTAGCAATCCACATTTGGATAATTGTTTTTTTTTTCCTTTCCTTTTTTGTTTTTTGTTTTTACGCCTCTTTGCACCAACATACTAGATTGCGATCATCGCCATTGCCTCAGACCCCCAGCTTTGATTTGTAGGCATGATATGGAAGATAAGTTTACCTCAACAGGCTGATACAACATATTGCTTCATAGGGTGATCATTTTTCAGGCTGAAATGTGCTCAGGTGGACGGTGAGATGCCCTTGTTGCAGTATTTGGTTTTGTAGGCCCTCTCTATGATTTTACACGGGCTCATTATAGAGTGCCATTTATCCAAGGTTGAATGACCTTGATAATTCCCAAGAGATGTTGAGATATCTTGAAGTGTGAATCCATAATTCACATTATTCTCCTGAAAAATGTTACTTTCTCCAAAGAGACAATGCTGAAAGGCTGAGCCAAACAACTTTGAAGCATTCAAATGGCGCCCACTTGGGCCTCACACCAGTGCATCCCCCTAGTGGGCCCCACTCGAATGCATCAATTCAGTACTCTCTCTTCGGAGAGACTACCATCACCCTATTCGCCTAGGGAGGTGAGGTGGCTGCTCTCGTGTTCCGTGTCAACAAGAGTGGATACACCCAAAATCTGTGAATTCATATTACTAATTTGCAAATTTGAATGTCACATGAACCTAAAACAAATGGCTAATAAATATGCACTCAGGTAGAATTACTGGTTCACCTTGTGGCCTCTTGGCTTATGGCTTGAACCCTAAACCACATGGCCAAGGTTCGAGACTGGTAGAATGTATGCCAAAAATGTTCAACAATTTATATCTAATGTTTTAATATGATCTTATACTATATGAGGTAAGTACATGGATATGCAATATAAAGACGCTCCCATTCAAAAAAAAAAAAAAAAAATTCTTGGATTTACTCTCATGCTCTTGTCCATGTGTCTTATATCTGTTCGGATGGTTCTTTCAAAAGGAATGTATGCAGTACAACCAGACTATTAATTAGTATCTTCCATGCTTTGCAACTAAAAAGAAATTTTTAATCAGGTTTTTATTGAAAGCATATCTTTAATTTTCTTTTCCAATTCTGTTATCTACAGAAATCTGTCTAACTGGCTTTAGGTTGATGTTAAGCAACTAATTCTTAATTAAATGCAACACATTTGAAACAACACTCAAGGCCTAATTCCCACCCTATCAATTCAGGAATGGAGTGCTAGAGATAAAGAAATTTCATGAAGTAAAGCATATCTCATGTTGCATCCCTTGACATGCCATATCATATATAAATATTTAATTTTAACAATATTAGAATTTAGGACTAGATTAGATTAAATTTGATATGGTAATTATGTTAGATTCATCTCTTAATATTTAATTTCCCAGCTGTGCAATATCTTGTGATATGATGACCCTTGGGTCAATTTAGTGTAATCAGTCTTCAAATTCTGTTATGGTTTCGTCCTACTTGGTAAATTTTTGCAAAGCAGGTTAGTTCTTACTTCTATAATTAAACCTGGTAACAATAGTAAAATTTTACCTGCTGGTATACCTATATGTTATATATTGATTATCTAGTTAGACTTAAAAATTCTTAAATTTAATCATTATTTCCATTAATTACATGCCTTTGCAGTTATGCTGAATCATAAGTGTGCTTTCCCTCTTTTTTGGTCTTTAGGTGGTGGTGCTTGGAGGTGGATCTTTTGGGACAGCAATGGCTGCCCATGTTGCAGGTAGAAAAGCTCAACTGGAAGTTATCATGCTTGTACGTGATCCTCAAGTTTGTCGATCTATTAATGAGAGCCATTTTAATTGGTGGGTCTTCTCTCAACTGCATCACATGTTTTGACTCTTCCTTTTTACACCCTAGATGAAAATGAGCAGAAAAAATTACTTCTTGGCTTGCTTGAAGAGCCTTTTTACACCCTTGATGCAAATAAGCAGAATATTTTTAACTTCTTTTCTTGTGCCACTTGTAATCCTATCAAGGTGATAATCTCTTGTACATATACATACGTATACATAAATTGTAAATCTTTCTTTTTAGCTTCCTGTTTCATTATTTCTCCTGGTGGTTTTCTTCATATATATATTTCTTTTACTGAATTCAGTGTTCTTTGCTCTCAGTAAGTATTTCCCAGAACACAAGCTACCGCAAAATGTCACTGCAACAACCGATGCCAAAACTGCTTTGCTCGGTGCAGACTTTTGCCTCCATGCTGTACCTGTGCAGGTATCTTTAGTTGGTGCTCCATTCAATATATGGCTTTAACTGATTGTGGGGGAGATCTTTGTTATTTCTATTTTTATTTTTTTGTATGAGCAATGGAGTTTGAGTCCTGGTGCTGACCGAAAAGTCTTGAACCTATTGCTCTTTTATTACTATTTGTAATATCATAGTCTCTTCCTTGGGAAATGTAGCCTGTATTGAGAGAAAAAAAAAATATCATTACCCAGTGTTGTTTCTGCTTATGCGAAGTGCTGGGAGGGAAAATGTAACCTATATCCCCTAGTATAAAATTATGATTGAAACAAGGGCAACTGTTCTCATGTGATCCATCTTATTGCAGTTCACCTCGCCTTTTGTGGAGAGCATTGCGAATTATGTTGATCCGGGCTTGCCATTCATATCCCTAAGTAAAGGTTTAGAGCTCAATACATTAAGGATGATGTCTCAGATAATTCCCCAAGCACTGAGGAACCCCCGCCAGCCTTATGTTGTACTATCAGGACCTTCATTTGCATTGGAATTGATAAACAAGTTGCCAACAGGTAGGTCAACTGCATTTTTTGGGGTAAATGGGCCAGTCACTTGCATTTGTTTTTGAGAAAACTGTAACTTCACAGGAAATAATATTCACCTCATTTTTGGTTTGAAATGTACGAAATTATTTTCTTATGCTTGCTTTATGTTTTTATAGCGATGGTGGTGGCATCAAAGGATAAAAAACTGTCAAATGCAGTTCAGCAGCTTTTAGCTTCTAGAAATCTGAGAATCAACACATCAAGGTATAAGATATCCTCCAAATCTTCTAAATCAATCATAGATAATATTGAAATGTAATGAATTTTGAATTCACATGCTCAGTTTGTAACCTCTGATACTACAGTGATGTTACAGGGGTGGAAATTGCAGGTGCACTAAAGAATGTACTCGCAATAGCAGCAGGAATTGTTGAAGGGATGCATCTTGGTAATAATTGTATGGCTGCTCTTATTGCACAGGGCTGTTCTGAAATACGATGGTTAGCAACAAAGGTATCATTACAATCCTTTACACCTTTAACACACTTTTGCATTAAGCCAATTCACTTCCTGATTTTCCATTAATGTTCTTTTAGTTAGCCTGTCTTTTAGCTTGGGAAGATTTCAATTGTTATTATTTGGTGTGGACAACATTTGCTTAGTCACATAGTATTTGCTTATTATATATACATGGCAGAAGTTGAAGACCTTATTTTTGGATATCAGTGGTGCCATGTGAATGGCATAAAGATGTAGTTTTTTGGTGGTTGTTGATTGTGGCCACTATTCCATGGTCTAACAAGGAGATTTTATGCTAAAAGTTCCCTGTGAGATTTATCCAACTTCAATAGTTAATTCTGAACCTTGACCTTGGTTTCTTAAGATGATTCAAATTTGGTTGTGGATCTAATTTTTAAATATTTTGGTTCAATGGTTTTCTGTCCTGCTTGTTGTTTGTAGTGATTGAAATAATCATTTTTGGCTGTTCTCTTTTCATTGAAGATGGGTGCCAAGTCGACAACAATAACTGGTTTATCAGGAACCGGAGATATTATGCTTACATGTTTTGTGAATCTTTCAAGAAATAGAACAGTTGGAGTTCGGCTTGGATCAGGAGAAAAGCTGGATGATATACTAAGTTCCATGAATCAGGTCTCTGAAAATCTTTTTTATGCTACTAGTTAAACCTTTGTTAATTTAGGCGGTTACTTAATACTATTTCCCTTTAGGTGGCTGAAGGTGTATCAACAGCTGGAGCTGTGATTGCTTTGGCCCAGAAATATAATGTCAAAATGCCAGTTTTGACGGCAGTTGCTCGGATAATTGATAATGAACTTACCCCGAAGAAAGCTGTTTTTGAGTTGATGAGACTCCCTCAGGTCATTCTAGTACTCCAAGAAGTTTATTTTCAATTTTATATTTTTGGGTGCTACTTAAAACCTCATTACAACATTATTCTGTTCAAAGTTGGGGTTGGTAACCCCAAAGTCGGGTTGGGGATCCCTTTGGGTTGAAAGTTGCTCAATCTAATCGCTGAAGGGAAAGGAGAAGCTCACAGTTAGAGTGGAGTACATGAAGTTCATAATGAAGAGAGTAGAAAATTAAATGAAAAAATTTGAAAATTTGTCATATGGGTATAATTCTTGGTTCAGAGACTTTGAACTGGATGTATAAACCCTTCATCTTTTTTGTCAAATTTATTTTATTTTATTTTTTTCAAAAAGAAAAAGAAAAAACTTTATAGTTGCCTTTTTATTGGAATAAAAAGAAAAACTGTATTTGATTGGTTTTTAGGTTGAAGAAGTTTGATAGAAGATGATCCCTCCGAGGTGATTTTCTCTAGTTACAAGCCAAGTTATCAATGGACTGTGCACCAAGCTGCATCAACAAAAATACAAACAGATGTAAACATACAGATTTTTTTTTTTGGTCCCCCAAAGCATGTAATCTTTGCACTCTCCTAAAGTTGTTTAGAGAACAAATGTATAAATTGGAGATTTTGTAATTTGATCTGTATAGGGAACTTTGAATTTTGGTAATCGTGATATCAAGCTGGTGTCATCTTTGATCACTGATGATTCTTTGTTGTAATGACAAGTCCAGGTATGTGGTAATTTTTTCCCCTTTTCGATTAAACATATAGTGGTGTCCTGTTCAGTCATAAGCGGTCTAATACACCAACCTTGTTCTGTCATCAAGTTATTTAGCCTCTCGACCTTGTTAAACTGTCATGGCAGCTGTAATATGGGAGTTACTGCATGTGAGAAAGGGGAAAAATATATATACAACACACACACACACACACACAACACGCACACTTTATCATATATATATACATGTGTGTGTGTGTGTGTGTATTTAAAATTTTAAATATACTTGATTTTTTAGAGAGAAAAAATAAGGAAGGAGTAACTTTGCATGTGTAACATTCTCAATGTATTATGTAATGGGTGTTGTATGTGTATTTGATGTATGGTACAGAAAGAGGTTGTAATAGAAAAAAATCCAAAAAAAAATCCAAATGTCCATGTTTGTCCTAGGTTCAAGAAAGTCCAGTGAACCCTGATGGCAAGGAAGGGGAATCGAAACAGAATACCACAATTGATGCTTGGTTGGCCATCTCACTGTTTTAGAATTTTATGATTTTGCAAATTATTACTATATTTTCTCAAGTTGTGTATGATAAACGAGAATTATTTTCTGAAGTTACTTTCGTTTTTTAGGTAGTGCAAATGTTCAATTTACACACCTATTACTTAAGAATGGGCTAGTCCAATGCAGGGCTAAGAAGGATTTGATGCACACTCTTGTCTTTGTATACATAGAGACTTACTACTCGCTTACAATTAATATAATTATCGTGGAAGAATTTGAAGGAAATATGGAGTTAAAAGAAGAGATTTTGAATGAAATGTGGAGTTAAAAGTGAGATGTAAAATTAAAAGACTGGTCGTTTAATGAATATACTCGATTGGATCTCACTCACTTCGTTTTAAAGTTAAAATTGTTTGCAAAAAGAGCAATGATACATCTTTCTTTTAAAAATTTCAAGTGTGAACAATGCTTTCTTAAAAATTCTAATTCTTTCTGTGTGCACAGCCACGGTGATATTACTGTTCTGCCCTTACAAGTTACAACTTCCTCCAGTGGACTTTCTGTTTGGTCGACGATGATGATGCTAAGCCATGCATCTAAATCTATTCGTAACTCGAAAATTTTCGAGTCTGAGACAATCCCATCTCTATGTCCCAACCAATTCCAAGATCAAAGGATTAGTTCAACAAGGGCATTTCTCAGAAGCTTTACAACTATACACTAGACAACCACATTGCCCTCTCAACACCACCAAGTTCACATTCCCTTCTCTTCTCAAATCCTGTGCCTTCCTTTCAAATCTCTCCTATGGAAAGACTCTCCACGCCACTGTCTTTACATTGGGTTTACAGTTTGATCCATACATCACCGCTTCACTCATAAACATGTATGTCAAATGTGGGTCACTAGGCAGTGCAGTCCAAGTGTTCGACAAAATGTGTGAATGTGAAGCTTTGGCTCCAGATATCACAATCTGGAACTCTATGATTGATGGGTACTTTAGATATGGGTATATTGACGAGGGTATTCTTCAGTTTCGCCGAATGCAATTATTGGGTGTCCGACCTGACGCATACTCTCTTAGTATTATGCTTGGAGTGTGTGACAGTCTTCCAAGATTTTTGGAAGGAAAACGGATTCATGGCTTTCTTTTGAGAAACATGTTTGATGATGATCCTTTCTTGGTGACTGCTCTGATTGAAATGTACTCGAATTGTGGTCGGCCAGTGGATGCCTGGTGTGTTTTTGAGAGGTTGGAAAATAAAAACAATGTTGTAGTATGGAATGCGATGATTGGTGGGTTATGTGAGAATGGGTTGTGGGAAAATAGCTTGGAATTATATTCATTAGTGAAAAATGAGAATTTGATTCTCGTGTCAGCATCATTTTCCAGTGCATTGGCTGCTTGTTCTCGGGGTGAGGATGTAGAGCTTGGCAAGCAGGTCCACAATGATGTTATCAAGATGGGGTTCCAGAGTGACCCGTATGTTTGTACTTCTCTCTTAACCATGTACGCCAAGTGTAGATTGGTTGAAGATGCTGAAAAAGTTTTTGCTTCTGTACAAGATAGAAAAAGTGAATTCTGGAATGCTATGATTTCAGCATATCTCTGGAATGGTTGTGCTTACGATGCTTTGGCTGTTCGCCATCAGATGAGATTAGATGCTGTTCCATCCGATTCTTTCACAATATCAAATCTTTTAGGTGTTTGCAGTGCGATTGGATTATATGATTATGGCAGGACACTTCATGGGGAACTGATCAAAAGACCGATAAAGAGTACTATCGCTGTGCAGAGTGCTCTTTTGACAATGTACTCGAAATGTGGGAAAACAGAGGATGCTAATGCAGTTTTTACTACAATGAAGGACAAGGATATGGTTGCCTGGGGCTCCATGATATCGGGTTTTTGCCAAAATAAGAAATTCAAGGAGGCTTTGGATTTGTTTAAAGTGATGGAGGCTGACAGAGTGAGACCTGATTCTGATATAATGGCAAGTCTAATTAGTTGTTCTGTGGAACTAGAGAATATACATTTGGGTTGCGGGATTCATGGATTTGTCATCAAGAGTGGCTTTGAATCAGATTCTTTTGTTGGTAGTTCCCTGATGGATATGTATTCGAAATATGGGTCCACCGAGATGGCTGAAAAAGTATTTTCTGGTATGCTGCATAAAAATCTGGTCGTCTGGAATTCTATGATCGCATGCTATTGCCGGAATGATCTTCCAGAGCTGTCCATTAATATTTTTCCTCAAATTGTACAGCAAGGCTTGTATCCGGACTCTGTTTCCATTACCAGTATCCTTGTTGCAGTTTCATCAGTGGCAGCATTGCTCAAGGGAAAGACTATACATGGATACCAAATTCGACTTGCGATTCTGTCCGACCTTCAAGTGGAGAATGCATTAATTGACATGTATATAAAGTGTGGATGCTTAAAATACGCAAAACACATCTTCCTGAACATGCCTCAAAAAAACCTAGTGACATGGAATTCAATGATTGCTGGTTATGGATCTCATGGTGAGTGCCTAAAAGCAATTAGTTTATTTGATGAAATGAAAAGATTAGGGATCAGACCAGATGATATAACATTCCTCTCCCTGATTTCGTCTTGCAACCACTCTGGTTTGGTTGACGAAGGCCTAAAACTCTTTCAATCAATGAGAGTGGAATACAACATTGAACCTATGATGGAGCATTATGTTAATATCGTTGACCTCTTGGGCCGTGCTGGATGCTTGAATGATGCTTACAGTTTCATACGAAAAATGCCCATTGAACCCGACAGGAGTGTTTGGCTATGTTTGTTGTCGGCGTGTAGAGCCCATCGTAACACTGAGCTTGGAGAACTTGCAGCACATAACCTACTTAAGATGGAGCCAAACAGAGGCAGCAACTATGTTCAGCTGTTGAATCTGTATGTAGAAGCCAGATTACCGGACAAGGCAGCAAAGCTGAGGGCATCAATGAGGCAGAGGGGGTTGAAGAAGATCCCTGGATGCAGTTGGATTGAGGTGAGAAACAAGGTTGATACTTTCTTCTCCGGGGATTCGTCCTCCCCTAGGACAGTTGAAATCTATCAGACTTTGAGTAGTCTTAGGAGTATTATTGATAGGCAAGAAGTTTATCATGAATGCCTTGAAGCATTCTGAGAATCTTTCTTCGAGGAACTCTGCTCAAATTTGACATTTCTAGGTTTCGACCAGTGCTTTTTGACCCTGGAACATTGCGTATCAACAATGTTCTTGAGGTGGCATCAATGAGGAGCTTTGCAGTACCTGTAGATGGTATTGAAGGACAAGGGTTGAATGAAGGCATCATGGATGGGATCTAATGAGAAAATTTGCATCAAAGTCCAGCAATCGAAAGAGGTGGAACCGGCAATGGTGATGACCACTAACCATCAAAGATGGTGAGCCAGTACCAGGCGATGACTGCGTCAGATCGAAGTGCCACAGCGAACAAAACCGCTGCAGCCTAACCCAAGCGCAAGAAATAAGTTATTCTGATGATCAGACGATCTTTATTTAGTCACTTCAAAAATTCTCCCAAGCATAAAGCAATATAATCCAGTTGAATGAGCTTGATGATTTTAGGCACAACATTGGAGATTCATGTATTTTTTGTTCTTGACGTACTTAAATGACCATGGAGATTTATAAGTTTTTTCATTACTGTTAATTCATTCTTTTGAACTTCTATTTGCCACAAGTGCAAGTATCATTTAAAATCTTGGCATTTTTATTTGCACGGTCGGTATTTGACATGAGTAGAAAAAATAGGGGCATGAAAAATATAATGCATAAATCGTAAAATCTTGCTTCAAGAAATCCTAAACAAAATGATGTGCTTGAGAGAAAGAATATTGATATTTCAAGAATATGAAAATTAATATTTGGAAAAAATAATATTACAAATCAAATGTAATGTTGGATAAAAGTACAAATACACCTCATTGTGATGACATAAATGCATTATATTTTGATATGAACACAGCTACAATAAAATTCAAAAGTAAAAAAAAAAATTACACAACTCATCTTAATCTTAACCCATTCCTTTCACCATCATCTATCTTTTCTTTTCTTTTTTTCTTTCCCTTTCCCCTGTATTTACATCCCAGAAGAGGAGGTCCGGTTTATCCTTTGAGCACCCAATCTTTGACCAGCAGGTTTTGAACCTCGGCCTCGCCCAGCTGATAACGGCTTGGCCCTGGTGGTAGGTGGAGGAGCCGCAATGGCAGCCCAGGGGTCGTCATCATCAAGTGTTCCTGCTTTTTTTACGTTCAAAGGTTTTGATGTTGATTTTGGAGCAGAAGCAGCAATGGACCCCCACAAATCATCATCCTCATCTTTGGTCACATTCATTGTATTTTTTGGTCGCAAACTCGCAACTGAACAAGAAGAAAATCTCCCATTAGATATGCTTTCCTTTATTGTAATTATAAAATGGTTAGTGGCCTAACGGCACCAGACCTCTACTTTCCAAAGGGAAGTCATGGGTTTGAGCCTTAGTGGAGGCATGTGTGCGTGAGTACCAACTAGGAAGAAAAAAAAAAAATTATTGACAGTACGCAAAATATGCAAATGTGTTCCAAGTTGAAGAAGGTGGCCAAAAAATTCAATATATTCTGAGGCCACATGTCAGCTGAAACTTCAGACTTATATTTGTTCTCCCTCGCAAAAGAATTAGAATAAGCTTACATAGCGGCACCAACCATATGTTTAACCATGGACCAGACTAGGCAGTTGAACTGCTGGAGACCAGAGCCATCTATCAGTCTGGTTTTCAGACCGAAAAAACCCACATATAACTACACAGATGATACTGACAAGTATATGGGCTTACTGCGAAGTATTTGCTTCATCTAAACAAAGAACTTTTAATGCTTGCCTCTGTGCGTGCGCATCTGTCCCTGTGGACTAGGAATTAAATTTCTATATTGCTAATCATGGAACATTCAGTTGGTCCATACAGTGTCAACGAATTGCAAAATGTTACTATTTGGTGTGAACAACATGGGTCAGTAAGTAAAGGATAGTACCTTGTGGCTTCGGATGTGAGACAGGCCGCTTTTGTGCTGCTTGGATGTTTGTAAGAGCTGGAGATGGCTTTGGCTCCTCAAGTGGCTCAATATCATCCCACCCATCTTTGTCACTTTCATGCTCTTCATGAAGTCCATTTTCAAGTTCTCCCCAACCATCAGTTGATGTAGGCGACACAGGAGCTGGTTGATCAGCTATATCTGTGCTAGAACTTACCTTGACTAGCGTTGTACTTGCACCGTCTGTCACTATGGTTGTCACAGATTACATATTCCAATGTCAAAGATTGATCATTTGAATGAATGCCTCCACATGGGCATAGATTTGAGTAATTATCCAGAGAAAGTAACCAGTAGTAAAGAGTATCATCTAGCAGAATCAAATCATAAAATATATGGCTTGAAGAAAGAGAGTTCATAAATTGAATGATTTGATCTGCTTTTTCCCATTTTTAACTGTTATTATTCATGACATTTCATTTAGCAACTGGGTACCCACACTCTTTCTATTTCTCCCCCTTCCCCAAAAAAAGAAAAAAAGAAAAAAAAAATATTCCAAGTATTCCCTAAAATTTAGATCAAATAAATAAAAATTTAATTCATTCAGAACATTTCAATAAATCCCGAGATGCCTCTTAATGTCCTGACTTACGAATTACTCAAATTATTTCTGCGGTTCCAAACTATTACACACAACTACCAAGGGGATTGCATTTCCGTATTTTCTTAGCTTCCATGACTTAAAATTGCAAATCCAACATTAAATTCTCTATACACTTCTTAATTCTTACAAATTATAGTAGTCTTCAAGATGAAAAGTTCAAGAATGCTGAATTATTCATGACAACTTAGGCAAGAAAAAGAAGTTACATGAATGACCAAAATCATTTCTAAATTTTATTGCATCGGATAGTGGTGAACCATTTATAACAAGGGAAGTTTGCATCAAGCAATTGCCTTGTTACTATAATATGTATAATTCAATTTCTCTTGGGTCATTTCTTCTCTATATGCTTGTATAAACAAATGAAATATACCAATGTAATTTTTTTCAACATATTTCAGGTAGTGGAAACTTTCTGGGGTAAAGTATTTCAATAATATTATCAACACAAACTTCTTAAAAGTTCATCGAATTTCCCAGGTGATGAGTGCATTACTAAGGTTGACATGTCCCTTAAATGAGAAAAGAAGAAACCAAAAACCAAAAACCAAAATAGTGAACTCCATGCATTAATAGCTTTACAGCAGTCTCTTCAACAAGCAAATGGCAGCTAAAGGATAAACAATAGATGAATACATTTTTTTTTTTTTCCCTTCCTGAATAATAGATGAATACCTTCTTACCATGACTCTCTGATACTCCTTCCGTCCCATATTAGTTGTCAATCTTTGGTTTTCTAACTTTTTAAGGGGATATGCAATTAATGCATTGTCCCCTTTACAAATTACTAAGTTGTCCTTTAAACTTTAAATATATATAAAACACAAGTTGAAAGAATCTTGAAAATTGACAACTAATTTGGGACACCTAAAATGAAAAAATTGACAAATAATATGGGACAGAGGGAGTATATGTTAACAATAACATTTGGTTTGATCATTTCAACTAAATTTGTACATCCTCTTGCCAAAAGATGGTAATGCAAGGCAAATTGACCTCGGATTCAAACATAATTTACATTGCATTGAAACATAATGAGGAAAACCAAATTGATAAAGATGCATACCCAATCTGGCATTGTCAACATCAGAAGTAAGAGGTGTGGTGGAATTTGCCGAAGAAAGTGGAGTTTGTTCAGAAGGCTTGCCTTTAAGGGTCAAGGAACTCATGGCCCATCTGCATTGGAATCATGACGTTTGTTGTTAATCCCAAATTATTTGATTAAAAAATGTGGCAAATTTTATTTGGAGTAGACAATTTTAACACTACAAGTCCAGAACTATGTATCATTCAAAAGAATGAAAAATCAAGATGAGTTAACAACTCAAGCAAGTCTAAAACCACCTTAGATAAGTAATGAATTAATTAAAGAACTGTTTGTATATGGAAATTAAATATGTGCTATGAAATCTACAAGTTACAACAGTATCTGAATCATTTTTGTCATACCATATAACTCAACTACAAATCACCAAATGACAAAAAAAATAAAAATTAAACATAACGGAGGTCACTTTGGAATCCTAAAATGCACTTATATCACACGAGGGCTAAAATACAGATACTCTGTTCAAAGGTTACATGCAAAAAAATGAAATAACTTGAGTTCCATGGGATGTCCTAATGCTCCCCAACTCCACACCATGAACTTATATCAGATAGTCAAATTAATATACTTAAACCTTTATGATATACCTTGCAAAATAGATAGGAAATATGAAAGCTTTTTTGCATAGACAACAAAATAAGCTCCTCGATTATGATCAGGATAAATCTAGAATGGGAATGAAATAGAAGAACCAGAACACTAAGTCCTGGTATAGCTGGACTATGCACACACAACGTCTAGAAAGAGAGGAAAAAAGGAAACAAGTAATATATCGACCATAACTTTGTATGAGAGTTGCACAAGTGCGGAAGTTGTTTGAAAACCGTAAGATTCTCAGTATAAAGTTGATATAGACAAGGGAGTGAATAGGTCTATTTCACTCTTTTTCACTTGGTTGTTAATCTCAACTGACTTTTGATATTTATCAATCTCACAAGCAAATAAAAATTAAGAGAGAGAGAGAGAGAGCATAGAGCAGACAAACACTAAGATCCTAAATCATGTGGTTTCCCTAGATCTGTGGGGCCTTCCATTTTCCTATTTAGAGTTCATTGGGTTATGCTGTGGTATGTTAAGGAGTTGCTTGCTTGTTGGATTGGAGGTTGTGCTAGAAAGAGTTTACAAGCCGTTTGGCAGGCTCCACCAATTAATCTTATGTGGTGTCTTTGGAGGGAACAGGAACAAATTCCAAAATATTCCAGTTCGTCTGTCAAAGCAATTGATTTTGAAATCTGTGTATTTGTGTTTCTGGAAATTTCCGGAACTTACACTTATTTACATCTTATATGGAATTAGCATTAAATAGAAGGAGCTTAGTTTTGTAGCCCCTGTATACTCCACGTGGGTAGGTGCCCTTTTATTAGTTGGTATCCAGTTAAAACACCAGAATTTTTTTTTTCTTCCTCATATAAGTAATAATGTTCACCAGGAACATCAAGCCATGGTTTTTCTTGTAAATTTCACAAGCTACAGTGGAGAAAATACATTAAGCAAAGAAGAGAACTCCACGTCTCAAGGCAAAGGCATACAGCAAATAAAGTGGGAAGAGACAGAGTTTAGAATAGAATAGAAAGAATGAGAGTGACACATCAATCAAAATATTTTGCCAAATAAGAGAAGAAGCTAAACATGCCTCACTGAATGCTCTAAATAATAAGCTAATTTGTTTCCTAAAAACACAAAAAATGATACAATGTAGGTTAAAGAATAGATAATTACTAGAGGGAAGTTGTGAGAGATGCATATGCCACCACCTCTTTCTCTTCTAAAAGAGTTCCATTCAATCATATGTCCACTCATTAATCTCAACATCCTTATTCTACCTGCACTCATTTTTGTAAAAAAATTCCAAAAAATCCGACATTCTATAGAATTGAAGCAGTGATTGGGTAACATGAACTGCACCGTGATCATATTCATGCAGAGAGACATAGGAAGAGAAAAATGTGGGGAGTAGAACAGGAAGTGAAAGAAAATAGGGAAAGTAAATGACCCATTGAAAACTGTGATTTACTATTTAACTTTTTGTCCCTGTTATCATCAGTAGAGTGCTCGGGCCTTATTTCTTTGAAACAATGTGCTACTAGTGTAAACTGTAAAGCTTATGTCGCAGTTTCCAATGGCAAAACACCGTCATTGTTTTCAGTAAGGTAATTTTCTCCTCCTAATTTTTGGTGGACTACTTGGACAATATCAAAAGACAAGATGCTTCCAGTATAGCATACAATAGAAGAAAATGAAAATGTTTTGTATTGCTCAAATCACTTGAGCTCGCATCAACTTTACTCGAGTCAAATATTGCATATAATACCTATCCCTATTCTCATTAAGCTTGTATTCGAAAGGATTCTGGTTTCTAGTTCATCAAAGGGCTCATTCGACATTAGAAAATCACAAAAATTCCCATCCTGGATTAAAAATAGAAATTACATAAAATTTAGAAAGCATAATGGAAGAAAGATATAAATATTAAATCAACATAAACTGTCTCTTTTTTCTTTTTCTTTTTCTTTTTTCATACTTGAAGGGGAAATGAGAATATCAGTGCATGTAGTGGGAAGAAGAATAAAATGAACTAAGATACGAGAGTTCATAAGATCCGCACGTAAAATTAACTTACCCAAGTAAACTTGTATTTCCTGGCATTGATGGAATTCCAATGCTTGAATCACCAGTGGTATCCCCGGCATTTTTCTGTGAAGGACCGGAGAGGAAATGACTATATATAATTTAATCTTAGAGAACAAAGTAGGAATCAACTATCACCATAACAAATACTTACTAACCATATTTCCCTGAACTTTTAGTCATTTGAATAATAATTTGCCTTTACAGAACACAGAGATATTACTTCAATTTCAATACAAATTAAACATATGCTGCAGTTTCTTCACCACTGAGTCCAAACCAGTACTCACCTCAGATATATGAATGATTCATTGAGAAAAAAAGAAGGAAATGGATTAGGAAAAAAGAAACTCATCCATTCAACAGATACATGGTTCACATGATCCAAGTGGATTTCTTGAGCTGAAATAATTATCTTGCAATTAACAAGACAAGAAAGTCGTGCGACTCGTGCATAATAGATCTTGCGGAGTCATGTATTCTCCTCCAAAAATGCATGTTTTAGATATGATAAACATGTTATTCAAACCTACATGACATGACCACTAAGTTATTCAAGCCTACATGACATGACAACTAAACAGAAGATGTATTAGTTAAACTCGCGTGTATGCATGCAATATTAATGACATGACAACTAAACAGAAGATGTATTAGTTAAACTCGCGTGTATGCATGCAATATTGATGTTTAGCTCAGCTGTAGCAGCAGTTGTTACCAAGGAGGTAGATTTATGACTCCCAGAGCAGATACTCACCTTGGGACAGGTGCCAGAGGTGTATTGGTAGGGGTCCGATATGGTATGGTGAGATATAGCAGTAATGTTGCAACTTGATAAACCATGAGAAAAAAATGTTTCTTATTGCCAAACATTACCATTTACCAAACATTTCACCATACGGTGCTGAAAGCAAGAAGAATCTAAAATTCACCTTCTCATGGTACTGCTTCACTATTTGCAAAAACTGGTCAACTGCTTGAAATGACTTTGATCGAACATCACTGTACAATAGAAAGGAGAACAAATTAAAGTGCCATAGAAAGAATTACATATTAAAAGTTTCCAAATAAAGAATTACATAATAAAAGTTTCCAAATATTAAACTTATTATATTTATGCATTATAAAAGTATAAAACACGGAGAGTTCGAAATGCAGAAACCAAGCCAAATGGCACAATAAACAAACAAACATTACCTCTGATCTGCGCCCTCAACTTCAGCACGAATAAAACTTCAAAAATTAAAGGTCAAATTAAAATTTATGTGATTGCTCTGTAGTCTGTTCATGACCAACACATTTAAGGCATAAAATCTATTGGAGAGCAGAAGACCACTCAGACAAAGGTGCCTTGTAATGACTAGTCCCCTACCTTAACATCAGGCTTGCAATGGAGGGTAAATCAGTAGGCCAAGAAAGGGAGTGACATTTATGAAATTTAGTTGAGTGGAGTGTTGTGTTCGGCTCATAAAATTAGTGATAACAAAAAGTAAAGAAACCTTTAAATGATCACTCCCCTACCAGCATCAGATTTGCAACTGAGGGTAGAATCAGCAGACCAAGAAAGAAAGTGACATTCGAAAAATTTTGTTGTGTTCAGCTGATAAAATTACAGCATAAAAATACTCCACAGGGCATGCAGACGAAATCCCTGTCACAACTGAGCCACCTTGCTCCCTAGAATATACCCAAGTGACAAATAAATGGTACATGTACAAAATTGTACGAGTAAGATCAATCTTAATTCTTAAGCTATTGCACCCAATCAAAGGGAAAGATTAAGGACCTAGAAAACACTTAAATTTTCATTGCAACTGAATCTTAATATCATATTCATATGCTGCCAAATTTAAGATAGAGGAACACAGGAGTTTAGTGCCTTCCTTTCACTTACAAAAGCAACAACAAGAAGAATGCACCATTTTTGAAAGTTTGTGCACGCAATTAATTTATCATGTGCGTGTGTATATCTATATATGAAACTGTCTGTCACCGTTGATGAGATCCCCAAGCAATTCTCAACCAACATAAGCAATTCATTTCCATGATTATAACAACAGAACACTCTGTATCCTAGAAGCAGGAAGTGATACATCTGACAAGAAGGACAAGGACCCAACTGCTAACAGATCAAACCTTTAAGATAGAAGATATTGTCATTTTTTTAGAAGCATCCACCTTCTATTTCATTGGATAGCTCAAAAGGATAGTAGATAGTCTAAAATTTTGTAAATCAAATTATTCAACCGTGATACTCTTTGACCTAAGATTTACTCACAAGTCATAAGGACCAGTTGACTCTGGGTCCACACCACCATAAGTCCATCGGATGTCCAACTAAGTACTTAAGATTTATGCAGTTAAACTTGTCCAGGTATTCAGGGAAACAAAAACTGCCCAGGGGCTATCTTCAATAGACAAGAATCCCTAGACTGCCAAGTTGGCACCAGGTTACTGTTAGTCCAAAAGATTATATTTATGTGAAGTCATCATCTACCACTGAGATGTGGTGTGTTAGGTCACCCTTCAAAAACAAGGTGTCGAAGGAGGAGGTGCTGAAGGCTCTTAAGAGCTGTAATGGTGATAAGGCTCCAGACCCAGATGGCTTTAGTATTTTTGTTGGAGAGTTGGGAGGTGGTTAGGCACGAGGTTATGAGCACTTTTCATGAGTTTCATTCCACGGGGAGGTTTGAGAAATTGCTGAACGCATCCTTTATTGCCCTTATTCCTAAGAAGGGCAGTGCTTCTAACGTCAAGCATTTTAGACCAATCAGTCTGATCGGGTGTATTTATAAGCTCATTGCGAAAGTCCTTGCGTTTAGGCTAAGGGAGGTTCTTGATGGAGTCATTTCTGAGTCTTAGAATGCTTTCATTGGGCGTAGACAAATTCTGGACTCTGCTCTTATTGCCAGTAAATGCATGGATTCTAGACTTTGCAGTGGTGTTCCTAGTGTTCTTTGCAAGCTGGATATCAAGAAAGCCTATGATCATGTCTGCTGGAATTTCCTGTTTTATCTGTTAGAGAGGATGGGTTTTGGAGCGAGATGGAGGAAATGGATTGCTACATGTGTTTCCATTGTCAAATTTTCGGTGTTGGTTAACGGGTCTCCTACGGGGTTTTTCGATAGTTCTTGTGGCCTGAGGCAGGGGTACCCTATTTCCCCGTTCTTATTTATTATTGTTATGGAGGCCCTTAGTAGGTTGATGAGAAGGGCTGTGGATTTGGGGTTCATTAGGGGCTTCAAGATCGGCCCTGACTAGGTTCAGCAGATGGAGATCTCTCATCTACTTTTTGCGGATGAAACTATTGTTTTCTGCGAGGCAGAGGTGTCCCAGTTGCAGTATTTGAGATGTGTTTTGGTTTGTTTTCAGGCTGTCTCTGGTCTGAAAGTCAACGTGGGTAAGAGTGTGCTTGTCCCTATGGGGGAGGTTCAGGAAGTGGATTCTCTGGCTGTTGTTTTAGGATGTGGGACGCGACGTTTCCCTATTTCATACTTGGGTTTTCCGCTGGGAGACTTGGCCATGAGGGTGGGAAGTTGAGACCCGGTGATTGAGCGGGTTGAGAGAAGATTGGCTGGTTGGAAAAAGCAATATCTCTCCAAGGGTGGTAAAGTTACGTTAGTGAAGAGTGTTTTATCAAGCCTCCCAAAATACTTTCTTTCGCTTTTTCGGATTCCAGCCTCTATTGTTGGAAGACTGGAGATGCTCCAACGTAACTTCCTTTGGGGGGGTCCAGGGGAGGAGTTTAAGTATCATCTTGTCAAATGGGAGCAGGTTTGCAAGCCTTTTCAGTTGGGAGGTCTTGGGATTAGGAGACTGGCCCCTTTCAACAGTGCTCTCCTAGGCAAGTGGCTTTGGAGGTTCGGCAGTGAAAAACATAGATTATGGAGAAAGGTCATTTCTTGTCGTTTTGGGGAGGAGAGGGGGGTGGTCAGCTAGGCCTGTCAGGGTTGATAGTGGTGTGGGGGTGTGGAGGTCCATTGGGAAGGGGTGGGATGAATTCTCCAAACATGTTAGATTCAGAGTTCGGGATGGAAGATATGTCCGGTTTTGGGAGGATTCCTGGTGTGAGGATAGGCCTTTGGCTCTTTTGTTCCCAAGACTGTTCAGGATTGCTATTGACAAACATGCTATGATTGCTGACTGCTGTCGCCTTGATAGCGGGACGTTGTCTTGGGATGTGCGATTTCGACGATCTTTTCAGGATTGGGAGTTGGATGATGTCACTGGTTTGCTGGCCCTCTTATACAGACAGGAGTTGAATGGCACTGGTGCGGATTCCCTAATTTGGGTGCCTTCTATACAGGGGACGTTCTAGGTCCGGTCTTTCTTTGTGCGCCTCTCTGGTTTTCATGGTATTTCCTTCCCGTTGAAGACAGTGTGGCTTTCTAAGGCGCCTTTTAGGGTGGCCTTTTTTGTGTGGACTGCAGCTTGGAATAAGATTTTGACTTTGGACAATTTGAGGAAGAGAAGACACATCATTGTTAATCGGTGTTGTCTTTGCAAGTGTTATGGGGAGTCCGTGGATCACCTTCTGCTACATTGTTCTGTTGCCTATGATTGTTGGAGTCTTATGATTGGTTTGTTTGGCATCCATTAGGTCATCCCTCGGACTTCTCGAGAGTTGCTGGATATCTGGAGGGGCCGATGGGTGGGGACTCAGGCTAGAGACTTCTGGAGGGTGACCCCTTTTTGCGTTTGGTGGAGCCTTTGGAAAGAGCGGAATAGAAGATCTTTTGATAGGAAGGAGTCCTCCATTGGAGCGCTGAAATTTTCTATTATTTGTACCCTTTTTTGTTGGGGTTGGAGGAGAGACTTTTCTTCTTTTGAGGATATTGTGGACTTTTGAGCTCTTTGAGAACACAGGTTCCCTTTTTTTGTGCACAGCTTGGGACGCGTTCCCCTTTTGAACACTTTCTAATACATTTTACTTATCAAAAAAAAAAAAAAAACAAGGTGTCAAAGAACAAGTTGAAAAAGTGGTTTTATAAAAATTTCCAGCACAAATTTTGCCTAAGTAGCAAGACCTATACCAGTTATTATACTATATCTGTTGAAACTTCCAACTAAAAGTAGCACACAGCATAATATACCATCTCCTCTCTTTATTTATTAGGTAAGTACTCACACACACATTGCTCACATTGGGGGTCCCACCCCCCCCCCCCCCCCCCCCCCCCCCTCTGAGGTTATACCATTCGGCTAACAGCCCATTGATGACAGCACATACCATCTCTAAGACCACCGAGAAGGTTATTTGTTTAAATCAGTCAATCATTTATAAAGCTGTACAACATTCAATTAATCAAGTTATAGTTGAATCAAACGTAGGGAAAGAATCTACTCCATGTGGCTCTTTATCAACCCCCTTGCCAAGCAAGAATACCAAACAGAAGACTAGGAAAGGTTCTGATGTAGATCCCGAATTCAGGCTTAATCAATTAAAAAGTCAAATGATGGGCAATTGCATCAAGGGAGCAATACCAAGAAAAAAAGCAAAAAATAGATCATCTGAAGAGAAGATAACCTGTCAGGATCAATGGTAAGCACAACAACGTTTGGCAGAATCCGAGTTGCAATTTCAGTGATGTCATAATAGGAACTGGTGGCACATAAAGCCATAACACCTACCAAAATATTAATCTGATAATGTCAAACCAGGGGCGAGAGAGAGAGAGATGATATGACATGCAATGAATTCCTGGAACAAAAACATCACTAAATTCTAGTAAAAAATAAATAAACTAACAAAAGCGATGGATCTTACCAGCTCCTCGTGCAGGAGAAAATGTATCACGCAAAGCACGAACTGTAAATGCATTTATCAAAACTCTTTTCCGTGTCTGCATTGTCATTTCAGAAATCCATCAGTCACCATTTATATAGAAAGGACAAATCTTTTTTATATATATAATTTTTATTTTTATTTTTATTCTTTTATATCATATTCTTTGTGGTTTGGCAAATGAGGGACAATTCATATCAAAATATATTAATCATACGATCACTGGATAATGAATGTTTGTTATGCTACCAAATAACAAAAAATTAGCATCTGAAACAGAATTGTAGAGTAATTCGACATCAATGAATGGAAAAAATGCAAGCTAACTGCTACTAACCCCTTCATTAAGGTGAGTGGCGATATTCCCAAGTAGTATAGTGGTGTTCGTTCTAATTGCTGGTTCTTCATCAACCTGCATGACATACAGGTATGAAGAGAAAACTACAAAGCACAAACAATGAAAAACTAAAGAAAGAGAAACTTTCTAAAATCAAGTGAGATGTACTATCTGAACAAAAAAAAACAAAAAAGTAACTTTACATTGAAAGAAAAAGTCAATAAGTGAAAAATTAAAACTAATTCTAATATAGTTATATTAACAAATGAAGCAATGCCATACCTGAAGCTTTGAAAGATACTTCAACAAAGATCCTGCCATAGTGCGTTGAGAGAGCTGCAATTAAGTCAAACAAAATCTTTTAAAATAAAAATAGAAACAAAAAATATAAATATGTTCTAGCAAAATAAAGCAATCCAAAGTATCTTTTAACCAGTACATAATGAACATAGAGACAATCCCATGAACAATTCATGCAATCAAGATAAAAAAATATAAGACTGTTGATTATATCAATGCATATATTAAGAGGAAAACATACCAGCAGAAAGGTCAACTACAGTGTCAGCAATACTCTTTCAATTTTTTTTTAAAATTGTTATCAAATAAAGAACGTGTCTCAACAGAGCCTTAAATATTAACATAGGTGAGCTACCAAATCCTATTTCACCATTTGGCTTCAGGTAAGGCCATAGCCACTGCTAAACTATAGGTTGTTACGTCTTCTATTGCCTCCTCAACCTATGCTCTTTCTGGTATTTCTCTAGGTTAGAAATACGAGGCGTGTGTTGGCAATGTCCTACTCAAAATTCTGGTATGTGTCAAAATGTCATAAGTATATGACTAACCGTTGAAGACAATGCGGATAGGTAGAAGAAGAACATGGCTAGAAATCTGCATCCTCAATTACATATCTAGGGCACAGGTAAATTGACCTTGGAAAGACCTTGAATGACCAGCTTGATCTTGAAGAGGCCCAAAGTTTTGTTTCAAATGTCCTTTTGAAAAATGGTTTTTCAAAAATAAAGGATTTCAACATATTTTAAAACTGTACTAATGAAAAACAGAGAGCATTGATTGCTACCAAAAGAATAAGTGCACCTTAGGAGCTAGAATAAGCATGGACTTGAGCGTCAATTCCCGAAGAAATGCAGAAGTATCAGAGAACCCTGTAGCAACATGAGGGTAAACCTAGCAGAAAACAAGATCATACATGTTAGAATGTCCAAAGTCAATCATAAACATGTAGAATGTTATTAACTATCATGCCCAAAACAGGAATAGATTGGAACTTCCTCAATCTTAAGAAAGACAGCATAATCATTTAATCACGGACTGCATACTTGCTCATCAACAATTTGGGCTGACAGTGACTCTCCAAATTGATCAACATGCTGCAGGAGACCAACTCGAATAGCCCGGTCATTGGAGGCAAAAAGTTTAACAACTGTTGGTAGTATCTACAAATGAAAACAAGGGATTTTGCATTGATCAAGTTAAAGTAAAATAGTAATCATAAAAACATCCAGGAACCCAAAGAGGAGTGGAATGATTGGAATCAATTAGAAATGGAAACATAAAACAAGAAGGCCACCATGTGAATACTTAAAAGACCTTGGCGCTAAATTCTTCAGGTGGGAGCCAAGAACCCATCTTCAAAAGTGCAGTTAATGCAGGGGCAGCAGCAGAACCAAATTCTAAGGCGGAAGCTAATAAAGGAAGTAACTGCATAGACCAGAAGATAAACATAGTGAATTTGCCAAAAATTGAAATTGAACATTTTGCACAAGAAATTTAAGCACCTTTTTCAGCACAATTTGCCTCGGAAGCTGCTCTGCTAGATTGGGGAGCTTCCGGAAGAATGTATCCTTCTCAACGCTGTCCTTCAAGTTAAGAATTTCCATAAAATGTATGGTATCCACCAACTTATTTTGGAAATATTCTGCCAATCCATACTTGGGATATTTTAGTACAAACACAAGCAAAAGTATGGGAGAGAAAAGGTAATTGTTGGAAAAAACGAACCTGTGGTAGATAGATAAAAAAAAAAAAAAAAAAACACACATAAATAGCAAGAGGAAAATGAGCATATAAATTCATATGCTGCACTCAGTAAGACAATTTAAGTTGTTAATGCAGTTATTTATAACATAAAATATGTGTGAAGAGAAAAATTAAACGAATAGAACATGCGGCTATTATGTGGTTCAGCAACTAGGGACTAAATCCAAGGCACAAAGAGCCCAAAGGGCTACATATATTTCATTATAATCTCTCTTTTCATACACAATACAATGGTGGAGGCTCCTCTACATAGGAGAAGAAATTATGAGAATGGAAAGAGAGAGAAAATAGGAAACAAGGAGGATTTTTCCCCAGTGATTCCTCTAGCAACAGTAAATCGTCAATAATAGGAAACAACATAAATTACTGGAGGATTTTTCCGCCACTAATTCCTCCATTACATATTCAATAGAAGTCATTGCTTGGTGCAGTGTTACAAGCTCGGGCTGCCAATCCTGAGAATGCAGCTTCGAATATACTTTGTGCAAATAATGCACAAGATCATATCAGGATCCATCCGACCCTCCCAACACTTTTGATTAGAGGGAACTACACTAGGTCATGACCTTTACGAAGTTTAAACATTAAAAAAAAAAAATAGCAATCCATAGGTCATATTTCAGTGTCACAAACACACATATATTGCACAAAATAGTTGAAATTCAATTCAACAAAACCTTTTTCCAACTATTTCGGATTGGCTCCATGAATCCCTTTTTGCCATTCCACTCTTAAGGCACAAAACATTTGTGAGGAACAAATTCAATTACCAAGGTCACAACCATTGGACTCGATAAAATACCAAAGAGAATATTGAACCATAAAAACGAGTCCCAACACATTTTCAAGCATAAATTCTCCTATGTTTGGCAGCCAATATAGCTATAAATTGCAACAAAGCCAAGGAACTAGAAAATGTACCAAGGTCGACATGCATATTGTTGATTGATCACAGAGGTTCAGCCAAAACAGTAAGGTCATACTCACCTTCCAACATGCTGCATGCTTTCTCAATCTTTTAACAGGTCAGAATTTTAATTTACCATTTTCAAAAAGCTCTATCTGACCTGGAATTACTGAACCCTAATAAAACTAAACGAAAGACTGACTAGTATGACCCTTTGGTTCTTTAAAGGTGAGAAGGGACGGAAGCACATAATTAGGATAAGAAAACTGCTCCAATTACAAAAGAAATGGCAATGAAAAATATTTTCCTCACTATCGTCAGTAGCTAATCATCTTTAGCTAATCTATCAAGAATGAGGTTTCCTTCTGCCAAACCAGAAGGTCCATAAAAAGTTCTAATTCCAAAAAAGGGTAAGGCAGAAAACACAAGCACATCACTCTAACTTTAGTAGGCAACAAAAAGGTGCAACACAAAAAATGCACTATATCACCCTATCCCAAAGCATTCCAGGAAGTTAGTTAAACAATTAGTGTTCTTTGGTTCTTTCCACGTCCCATATGTAGAAAGACAGGATATAAACATTTAAATTTGACATCCAAAGAGGAACAAAGTCATATAGGGAGAAGAAAAGAGATAAATCATGGTTATGCTGCTTTGTTTCTATGTGATTATTCATAGATATAATTAAATTTTTATAATGACAAACAGAAAGAAGAACAATCATGCTTCCAAGTAAAGATTTTAATATATTATACTTCTACAATGCCAAGTGACTAGAAAACAACAGACACCCAGCTACAATACTTAGAAGAAAAAAAATCCAGCCAAATGATCTTTAACAATTCATGTGCTACACAGGCAAAATCATGTCTCCATGAAATTTCCTGAGAAGAATTCTGCCCAACTTGGTACAAAAAATGGCTATATGCCTATATGTATTTACTTCTGTAGCTGTATGGCATACTAATAAAAACTGCAGTCACCTAACAAACAACAGAAATAGATAACCTCCTCAAATTCCATGTAATGATTGTATTAACATATTATAGAGACCAATCCCAGCTCATTTACCCTGGATATTAATGGCTACCATGGTAGACCATCAAATGAAGAAAATTCTCTACAGTGAAATGAATTCCTAAGATAAAGAATTCTTCACAAATATTTACTTAAATAGACTGAGAAATAAGTAGATTTATTTACCCAAAAAAAAAAAAAGAAGAAGTAGATTTAACTCACCGCTATTTTCTATAAGTTTAGATGAGTTCATCCTGCGAGCCGGCATGGAACTCAAGAGCCGCTGATAATCTGGAAGTAGAGACTGTGAGACCAAAAAAACATAAAAGTAAGATTAAAATGGATGTTTCAGATAACTGGAAGTTAAAGCAACCCAAGACAGAAACAAGTGTGTGAACATTCACTAACTAAAAATTACAGTCTTTAGAGGGGTAAAAGGTAATGGAAGTGAATTTAGAAACAGAACTTGTCGAGGGATCAGTAAGCAGTCACAGATTCATCCTCATGATAACAGGCTGACCTTTGGTATGGAAGCGGTGTTACGCAGCTCCTCGGTCTTGCTCAGTTTCATACCAGAGAAAAGTTCATAAATTAGACAGCCTAACAATTAGAAGAAAAATCAGATTGCAAAATATATAATATAAACATAAATTATGCTAAAAGATTAAATAACAAAATGTCAACCAACAGTCCGCAAAACTAGAAGACTCGTATAAGATCGCCAAACAGAAGTCCAGCTCAATTGTTCACCATGTAAACTTTCATTTCCATGATAACGTTCTTAAAATTCCCATTTAATTTTTTCCATACAAGCAATGGATCAACTGGTTGTGCACATACAAAAGCACCTCCAAGGTAAAGATCATCAATGAAACCCAGTAAATGGAACAGACGTGCCATTCTTAGCAAAATACTAGAAACGAATCAAATATCCCATAAATAATGGCAGGTAGGAATTTATAAAGATGTGAAGGTCTTTCTTCAGAATAAGGCCAATGAAATTAAAATTCAAATGTAAATAAGAGTAAAAGAATAAAATATGTCCACAACAACAGGAACATAAATTACACTTATGTAACAACAACTATACAGACATACATCGAAGGGGAAATGCTCAGATCAAATGCAGCTTCTTGAATGCATATATGCGTTCAAGGACAGATAAATTATATACTGTGCCCATGGGTAGGCCAGTGAAATACTTACCCAAACCCCAAGAATCAATAGCCCAAGGTGGAGATTTTCTGATGACTGCCCAGTCAGACTTTAACAATTCCGTCGGTTTGTATTGTGAACCAATAAGCCATTCATATTGCTGGATGGAAGAAAAATAAAACGTGTAAGAAACCAAACCTATATTCAACTAAAAGTTGTAAATTTAGTCATCCTGAAAACAATTCCACCACGAACCAAAGACCCTAAGAGACTAAGCAAAAGCAAACCTCAATCAAACAGTCAACAAAACAACAAACTATAATTCAGTAAGGTAAGTATGCATATTCCACAGTATATGCTGAAGAAAAAAATTGTTATAGACCGGTCCAGAATGAAACATTACTACTACTAAAAAAAATTTAAAAAATTTCATTCATTGGTGCATTTCAAAAAGCAGGGAGTAGCTTTAAAGTTTATGTAGAATCACTCCAACAAAGTTTCAATTTAATGCTACACGCATACGTAGTTTTTCCATTGTATAATTTTTATCAACCACTACGGTTGCTTGGGCTAGAAATTCATGAAAATGTATCAACATCAGAAGTTTAAAAAATAAAAAAATAAAAATACGACCATTGGATCATATCTGAAGAGATGGATTACCAGCATTGGTCCTGTAGATGCTTCATTATTCCCATCAAACTCAGACAGAACATCAAAAGCGTGGAGCTTCCAGTCCAAAGTTTGAGTAACAACAACACTGGCCATGCAAACGTTACCATGAACCTGTCAATTGTCATAGGCAAAACCAGTCAAATTTATTATTAAAAAAAAAAAAAAAAATCAACAAATATTCTCTCCCAATGCATGTGAGAGAGAGAGAAAAGTTTATTTTTCCTTTGTCTGTGCACAAGCGTTTTTTTTTTTTTTGGGTTGGGGGTGGGGATAACAAAAAAGGAGAAATTAGGATTCCAAAGTCATCTTCACTAGAAGACAAAAATATTAAAATTAGAGAAACAATTAAAAGTGACATTGCCCCCAAACTTGGAGCATTGATCATGGCTCCCATCATGAAATCACCAACTTCTTTAAAACTTGCACTAGGCAGTGTTGCCAATTTGGTACACAAGAAGACAAGCCAAGCCACCAGTGCTCAAATCCTTTATTTCCTCTAACCGATTGGAAGAAATTACATTTATAGTGCGCATGCACATCCAAGTATATATGTCGGATGAGTCTATGACTATAGACATCTATTTCTAACTGTAACATTCATAATCTTTTCCTTCACTCATGACAGTTAATTTTAAAAAATTCACTTATGCAAAAGAAAATACTTACAGACTTCAATTGAAAATACTTACAAGTTTACAGTCATTATTTAAAAAGCTCACTGCTTTAGCTATGCGGCTCAGTCCCCATGCATAGTACTCATCCCTGCCATCAACAGAAGGTATAACAAATTCAGCATTAACCATCTCCACAAACTTATAGATGGTTTAAAATGCAAGGAACCTACAATCGATTCATATGAAAGAAACTTTAGACGACAGAAAGAAGGGAACCGTAGGACAGAACATTTTGCATGAACGAGCACTCACTAAGAGTTGAACTATTTTATAACTACAGAATGATTCATATGTAAATGTATACTGAAGAAGTTTCCAAAGGATATTATTCTATGTGCATGGACTTCAATAATTCTTCAGCCGGTGATGAATCATAGGACTAGAACCCTAAGTTCTAATATAAAGGCGCAAGGCCCGTGATCTAAACCTAGAGCAGGGTTGAATAGGTCTTGTTGGTTGGATAAACTAATTTTAACTACTTTTTGAATTTAACTGAAATAAATAACTGAATTTGATTCAAACTAAAACCAAACAATTAACTCTATTCAATCCATCAATCAATAATCAATCATGCAATAATGAAACTTAAAGCAGTAAAGTATAAAAAGAAGGGAAAAAAAGATTTTTTTTCATGAAAACCCAATCAGAAAAGACCACGGGACCTAGTCCAAGCAAACCGAATCCACTGTAAGAAAAAGATATAACCACCTACGTAAAAAATTTCCCAACCCCAAAAAACCACTAGTTGCCTCGACACAAATCGATCTACCAAACTCTTCCCGAGTCTCCAGGCACACGATCCACTTGTCAACAAACTTCACTCCACGAATTTTCTTCTTTTAACCAGTGATTTAGTCTCACCCACAAGCCGTTCAATTCAATATCTATTGAATAGATTAAAGTTGGTGTTGAACTCAACATAATAGCTCCACAGTGATGATGCCAACACACTTAAATTACACTCACGAAACTAAATGCAGACAATGAATGTAAAAAGGGAATACTGGACTCTAGAAATTAAAAAGAAAATGCTTTCTACATTTTCTAGATAGGTATATCACTGGTGTGTAGCCTGCCAAAGAGTTATGTATATATATAGGCAAGATAAAGGTATTTAGAGAGTAGGGTTTTCAGTGTTTTTATTTGAAAAAGGAAACTCAATATCTGAACAACTCAATCAATCGAGGAGATGGTTGACTGGTTGACACAACTCCAGAGAGTTCTGATCGATCAAACTTCTAGAAAATTTTCCAATAAGGAAGTTTCCAAAACATTTTTACATGCATGTTAAATAGGATTTTCTGAATCAAATCATTATAATTAGATATTTTAATGAAGAAATGCATGAACCCTACTTTTGGTGAGTGCATGGAGGTGTTAAATTACCTTATTACCCTTGGTGGAAAAGATTACGCATTTACCCTGGAATGTAGCTTCAACTCCATCTTTGACAATGAGCGATAGATAACAACCAACACTAACTAGCTTTTGAAATTTCTAAGAAACAAAATTACAAACTCTAGTTTTGATCAATGAAATTTGCCAACCTCAATCCTATTGACCTAACACCCAGGATCACATGTGATGAATAAACATTATATAATACTAATGTAGCGGCACATCATAGCACTAGCATCAGCAAAGGAAAAATCAATCTAGCAGAATAGATTTCATATACCTTTGTGTTCCTTCCAATCCTAATTCCTTGATCTTTTCTGACAGTGGCAAAACAGGCTCGGTGACAATATAGATAGTGACCTTTGTAGAGGTTCCATCAGAAGTTTCAACCTCTGTGCTGTAAAGAAATGATAAAATATTTGGATGTCTCACCTGAAAGGAGCAAAAACAACTTCTTATTAGCATATACAGAATCAAAACAATTCAAATGGAAAGCAATACTAGAAAAGCCCTGAATAAAGATTATTCTGCAAGATTATAGAACCCATAGAAAAATTTTATAAAAGAAGGAATACATATGGATCTTAAACACTGAACATTGGTTCTCAAGCCCAATATCTGAAGAGTGGAAAATGTTAAATACAGATTCCTCAACTGCAGGTAAGTGATTATCAAAAAATACTGATAGATAATTCAAAAAAATGGAGAAAAAATGCTTATGGAGCCAATAAACAAAGTTTCAAATAAGTTGAGGAAATCACTTGCATCCCAATCTCATATCAAAACTGAGTTCTCAAGAGCCATAACTGGAATCATGATCTTGTTTAGGTGCAACCCCGTTCATAAAAAGGATCCTAAATTGCAGAATGTCAGAATAAAAAAGAAATTAAATATTTGGTGCTTTTGAATCTCCTGTTTTGACGTTTCTCTTGTACGCTTTCAAAAATGTATCATCATCTAGGTAGCATGCAGCAACCGGATGTTTCTATGAATAAAACAACCTAAGTTTTAACTAGATAGATTAACAGGATAGATGCAGCCAAATACAAAGCTTCAAGGGAAAATTTACAAGTTTGAATCCCAATTTCCAAGATATGTGAATTTCTGAAAGAACAAAAATCAACTAGTGCTGTTGATAGTGTGAGCTCAGGAAGGTAATTTTACACTAACAATGAACTGTTCTCTCAACTTCTCTGAGGCAAAATGACTGTTTGATACATATAATTGTATATATTGTAACTGTGATCAAATGATAATGTAATCTTTATTAGAAGAGTGAAAGTGAAGTTAAAATTATCAGGAATTGCATAAACGGACACAACCACCAGTGAAACACAAAAGGGGAAGATGGATAAATCAAAAGATCCACACTCAAGCTACAATCTGGTTGTCTCGCCTCATTTGTAGGCAATAGAATCTAAGCCCAAAATTATGAAAAATCAATTCCATCTAATAAAGATAATAACCATGCAATGATAGAAGCTATCCCTTTCGTGCTATATTCGTTTTTTTATATGAACTTCCTAGAAATGCATTGGCTAAACCCCAAGGGGTTGGCCTAGTTGGAAAAGACTTGGGCCCTGGTGCCTCATGAAGCATCAGGTCTTAGGATCGATTCCTGCTAGGTGCAAACAATTCCTTGGAGGGGGGGGTGAGCACCAACTAGGAAAAAAAAAAAAAAATTAATGCATTGGCTATCTCAAATAATTACTAAAAAATGTTACATGCAATGAAATCTCTGATATGGCCAAAATGACTAAAAACAATTTACTGAAATTGAGTCGGAGCAATGCAATATGAGTCTGAAGATGGGACATATCCATGTTGCATCAAACAACATAGATAAAGAGTTAGAGAAATGGAAGTACATATCAGTAAGTTTAACAGGCTGAGAAAAGCCTGCCATTGCTTTCCTAGATTTCCAATTCTATAGCCATTGATAACTTACCGTTCGAAGACGCTTGACGCCATTACGACCAGCAGCTAAATGTCCATCATTGGCATTACTTCCTGAAAGAGAAAATATTGACACCAAAGACCCGTCATCCTGGAAAAACAAACCAATAATCAGAAGCCAATTAAGTTCACAAATAGAATGGAGAGGTGGAGGAAGAACACTGCAGGGCATCTTTATCAAGCCTAAGTTTCAAGAGTTTAATCATATTTGGTTAAAAAAATCACGTGGTGGCACAATAGAATTCAAGATGACACATTTAAGTCCAAAGTGATGCACCAAATGTGCTACTTGGTAGAAATATAACTCACTGCAGATAAATAATACAATGGATCGTTATGATTGAGGCCCCACATTGGTGCCATTGAATGCTTATCCAAAGTAAATGTAGGACTCAGTTCACAGAAAGGAAGAGAAGCTCCACGGTTGGTAGAGAGAGTTTCCCTTGCCAAACGGGCGGGAGACATTAACTACTCAGCCAACGTGTAAATGTATTTCCAATCTCTAACATGGAATTTTGCAATTGCAGTGGTTAGTCCATAGAGATTAAGCAGCAAGGGTACATTTGGATGACCCCATGTGTGAAATTGTATGCCCTGGAAGCCAACTTTCTTTGTAAAAAATTTAGTAATTGTGATTCACTAATAAGAAAACTTATTTCATACATTGCATAATTATTTAATATGTTTGCTTAATATCATCAAACTCCTCAATTTACAATTAGGTTACATATGATTTAGTTAAATGGATAAGATTCATGTATGAAAAGATCTAAGTTCACTGGTTTCTGGAGACTTAATATGATTGTAACCAGTGATGATTTGGTAGGTTACTCATGTTTCCTAAATCCGATTGGAGCCAGGATTAGAAAACCTTATTGATCCCCTCCTTAAACCTACTCACACCCTCTTTTATATATTAGGGGTGTGTGTGTGTGTGTGTGTGTAGAGAGAGAGAGGAGAACTTGATAACTGTCTTCAAATTACATAAAAAAAATTAGAGCAAGAGTCTTAAGGTATTCTAACCACCACCAAATAAGGGTCAGACATGTGGCAAGATTTTCAAGGCTTTGGAATTCCAGATTGATATGTTAGGGAACGACTTTTTATTTATTTATAAAGATGTTGGGGAACAACGTTACTTTCATGCTACATTTATTTTTGGTGATAGAGATCAAAAAGTTGAGAAGTGAAGGACAGAGAAAGAAAAAGAATCATTAGAGAAAAAAATCTATATTGAATAACTTAAGGAACAAGGGGGTGTAAGCCAACAACTCACTTCATAGAGCGCGAAACCCAATGAACAAGTTGAAATCACAAGCAGAGAGAGCCTGTTTTCTCATAAAAGTAGAAATCATGCAAATTCACGTCCAATGATAAATGATGGTAAAGTATGTCACGCAATGATGAAAATTATCTCTAACCCAGAGTCACTCAGGAATGCCAATTGCAAACAGACACTGCATTTCCATGAAAGTTTTGTCTTTTTTTTTTTTTGTTTGATAAGTCCATGAAAGTTTGTCTTTAAAAGGATAAATACAGCAAAGGATCCAACTACGAATATTGAATTGTCGAGTTTCAGCAATTAATAAAAGAAAATTATTCATCATCATCTTTGCCTTAGTCCCATATGAATGGGGTCAGCCACATGATTTCTCTCTCAATCTTTTCTATTACATGTCATTTAACCTACCATACTTAACCTTTTAAAGTCATTTTTAATAACCTCATCCCATGTTATTTTTAGTCGCCCTATCTATCTCTTACCTTCTATTATAACTAGTATACCTCGTTTGACCACTCATCCATCTCAACATTCTCATTTCCGCTATATGAAGCGTTGTTCTTGTTTCTTTTTTAAAGCCCAATACTCCGTTCAATACAACATAGTTGGTCTACTAAAGATCCTATAAAAAATTTCTTTTAGCCTATGTTTTATCCTTTTATCATGTAAAATTCCACTAACTTGTCTCCATTTTGTCCAACCGGCTCCAATCCTACTAGTTATATTGCTATTTATCTCTCCGTACTTTTGTAATCTTGATCCTACATAAGGAAAGTGGTTGTTTTGAATAATTGTTTGGTTTTGAAGTGTTCCCATTACATTATCAATGTTTGAATCTTTACTAAATTTACATTCCATATACAATAAAAGAAAAGTATTCCCTTCACCATTATAAGTTATGCAAACATGTTATGGTTCTCAGTTATTTGTAAACATTACAGGTCCAAGACCATCCGCTAAATTCCTATAAGTCCGCAACAAAATAAGCTAATAAACTTCCAAAATATAAACAATGGTAATCTCAGTCCGAACAATGCTGAACTCAGAAAGGCCAAATCCAGGAAACGCACTTGTTTCCTGGAATATCATTTATCAGTTACTCGATAAGATTCGAACCTCAACAACCCGATAATAACCAATTCAATCAAATGTAACCGAAATTAACCCCAATCTACTATTTGACGATGTACACTAACTAATTGAGGATCAAACTCATAATCATTTTCCTAATTTACAAAAGCTATGAGCTTGCTCGCTTAGAGTCCCATGATTCTACGAAATTAAAAGAAATCAACCCTAACTAAAAATCACGATAACAAATTAAACAATCGAAGGATTGTGCAAACGATATATGTATCAGGTCACATGTACGTAATATATATATATATAAACACACACTATATGTGTGTATAGAGAGAGAGGAGTGTGAATGACCTTGGAGGTGCCGCGATGGTGAGTCCAAGAGCCCCAGCCGGAGGAGTAAGGTTCTCCGATGTTGTAGGGTAGATCTTTAGGTCCCGAACCAGATCCGGCGACGACGCCTTTCAAGAATCTAAACATTTCTTTCGATCAACAACTCACAACTCTGTCTCTTGGCTTGGGATGACAGAGAGAAAGAAGAGAGATGAACGTTGTTGTTGTTGGTTCGATGATTCGATCTGTGTCTTGGTGAAAGACGGTGCGATACAGAAGCGCAAGAGGAAGCGGAGCGAAAATAATGGGCTTCTTGATTCGGTACTTCGCGATATTGAGAACAAATGCTTCTACACCGTTAATCAGCGGTATATAAAGACGACGTTGTAACCGCGACGATCAAAAATCCCTCTGCCGGTCCATCAATCAAAGCGTTATTTGCAAGCAAATACGGAGTAAACTTTAGTTAGATCATGCAAAAATTGTTTCCCGGCTGCTTCAAGTCGTTGGATCGAATGGTATAAAAAAAACAAAATTTAAGTCACACATAGTAATATTATCAGCAGGAACTTCAACGGATCGGGATGAAATACTATTTAGAAGAATTATGCCGGCTCAATTTAACTTGGAGTCTTAAGCAAATAAATAAAAAGTGTCTTTTTCAATAATATAAATAAAATTAGTCACAGCTCAAAAATAAGAATGTGCATGTACACACAAATTTATAATAACAAAAGTTAATAAAATTAAAAAATGATTAAAGAAAAAGAATCATTAAACCTTATTTAGAAAACCCAAATCCAATACTTCTACAAATTTTTCAATAGAATAAAAATGTGTTCATAACAATTATAAACTTGTAATGAGAGTGGGAGGAGAAGACTTTTTAAAAAATAAAAATAAAAAATAAACTGTTGGTGTAACTTATTCAAAAATGTTTTTAGTACTAGTGTAAAAAACGTGAATGAGAGAGAGAGAGAAACAAAAATTTTTGAGCCTAATATTAAAATTTTGTATTGGTTAGGATTTATTGTAAAACGTGAATGAGAGTAAAAAAAGGGAGAGTAAAAAAAGGCATATAAGGATGTAAATTTTTAGGGGCGAATATTAAATTTATGTATCAATTAGTGGTCAACAAAACGATAGAGGAGGAAAAAAAAAAAAAATTAGGATATAAATATTTGAGTCCTAATATAAAATCTAAATGAATGAGGAGGGAGAGAAGAGAGAAAAGAGAAAAAATAAGTTATTTTAGGATATAAATATTAGAGGCCTAATATAAAATCGAAACGAGTTGGGGAGAGACAAAAAAAAAAAATTTATTTTAGGATATAAATCTTTGAGGCCTAATATAATTTTTTTTTTTTTTTATTTATTAGAATTTAACAATATTAGAAAATAATTATAGTATAACTTAATATAAGAAAATTTTAAAATTTTGGGGCCTTCGGAAGGGGCCTTAGGCGACCGCCGTCCCTTTCAAAATAAAACAATATTTGTGAAGTATGTGTGTTCAATAGTGATTAAAATCATATCTTGTAACTAGAATTTGTTTTAAGATTTTTGAAATTAAAAATATGAAAATATGTTACGTAAAAAATATTTAAAATTTAAAAAATAAAATAACTGTTATTTAGAATTTTATTTTTTTATTTTTCAATACCGTCATTGATACTGTGCAGAAACATTATAAAACACCAATTTACTACCTATCCGCGATTCCAGTACACAAGTGTCATATTTGTTTACAAGGAAATCATAGAGAATAAAAGAATGGAACAACTTAAATTGATGAGCAGTCAGATAATACATACATGTGCACATTTGGCACACCAAAAATTACCACCATCCTTAGCATTCACCTTGTAATTAGGGTGCATGGTGAGTACTGAGAACCCAGTCTAACCTACCTTTAAGCATTCCTTTGTACAAGTATTGCAAGAATGGTGTGATGTTCCAACTCAACCTCCACAGATGTTCAAACCAATTAACCATCAATAGCAAGATCCACAATTGTATAACTGTACCAGACTCCAGAAGACACTGTTACCAGACTCCATGTGTTCTGCATTTCAACGAATTCCTCCTCCAAAACTCCGAATACAGTCAATCCTCATATCTATGTATTTCATTTCAATCACCGAAAAGACTACCTTAGCCTTGTGCACTAAGAAAAATGAGAAGATTGTATCACCAAATGCATCTGTCATAATGATCAATTCTACCCAAGCTCGGAATGCACCAAATTAGAAATCTCTGTTGGCTGGTACAAGCTTCAGCAACTTGGAAAGCTCGTAGGACTTGAAATCTTTCCCGTAACATAAGCTTATATCGAGGGGTGTTTTCCCATCCTGATACGCAATGAAGCAAAAATGTCATACCTGCCCTTTGAGAGAAAAAAGAAGAAATAATAGAAGTTCTCTATATAAGCAATTTACTATCCTCCAAAAAAAAAGAACAGGACCTGAAGATCATGCTCTCAATGCTTTCAGCACAGCCCAATATGATGAGCCCTAACAAGCACGCTTCTCTCATACACGAACAATATTTGCCAAATTTAAACAGAAAAAAAGATCAAAGGTTGTTTTGAACAAATTATTCCAAAATGTATTTTGTTTTTAGAGATAGAGGATCAAACTGTCAGATCTACAGAAGTCAGGTCAATAATTACTAATTTTGAAATGATAATTAGATAGTTACTATGTAGTAGTCCTATAAGTCAGGCTAAACCATTGTCCTCACTATAATGAATAAACTCCAACACACCCCACTCACAAATCCCTTCCTCCTCCCAAATTTCAAAAAAAATGAAATTCGTCACCTTAAGTGTGTTGGATGGTCTTGCCCAACATTCCTAAGGCACACAGCACATGAACAATGCAAACCTAGATAAATTAATTCAAAGAACTCAGGGAGCTTTGTAGAGTTAGAGGGTTTCCCAAGGCACCAAAGGGGCTAAAAGGTCTAATAGATCTCACCCAACCACGAAGTAACAAAACTTAGTTCCCACAATGTTACCTTAGTTCTTCTGGTCTTGTCTGCCCCATTGACTAACAAAACTTTTGCTATGTCTCTATTTCTACTTTGTATTGCAACATGCAATGGAGCCCATCCTTCCTGTAGCAAAAAAAAAAAAATTATAAATATATTACACAAAACTAGAACTGTATAGAGGGATATTTGAATAAATCTATACTCACATTATCAGCCACATTCACATCAACCTTGTATTTGATTAATAACTTCACAGTTTGTAAGGCACCAACTTGAACCGCATAATGGAGTGCAGTGGCACCATCCTGGTATGGAGCGAAACAGATAAATCCACGTCCCTTTCAAAGTTATACAAATATAGGAATTGACAAATATATAATTAAAAAAAATTGTCCCTTTCAAAGTTATACAAATATAGGAATTGACAAATATATAATTAAAAAAAATTGTCCTCACCTGATCTCTAACGTGGGGACTTGCACCTTTTCTCAAAAGATGACTAATGACGGCCTCTTTTTTACCAATAATTGCTTTGTGAAGAGCAGTGAGACCATCCTACTTCACCAAACTAATTCAGATTCCTTCCTCAACATAAAAGAGGTTAACCAGCTTTACTATTTAAGATATGGACAAATCCTACCTTATCAACAAGGTCAATATCAAGCCCGTTTTCAAGTAGCATGTCCATGAAATGTATCTGTCCTGCTAGTGCAAGAGTATGGAGTGGGTTCCATTTTGCCTATGTTATAAAATCACAAGATTTTCAAGAATAAGAAACTCAGTCCTTCAATCACCAAGCAGCCACAATTGCACTTTCCTTTTCAAAATAAGAATCATGAATTGCTCTAGAAAATAGGAAGTAACAAAATAAAGTTATGATTAATGCATTATCAGCAATTTCCAGTAATAAAAGAAACCAGAGTCATGTAAAAGAGAAGGAAAAATATATATACATACATATATATATATGTATATTATACAGTCAAATAGGCTTAACATATTCTCAAAACTTACAGTTGATATTTTCCCCAATTTAGGAGTCATATTCTGTTGCAAAATCACTCTTTCTTCAGGTCCCAAAAGCTGTTCAACCTCTGCAAGAATTAGAATATTGTACTAATTGCATCATCTTGATGCAAGAGCCATGAGGAATTCAAAGTCATGTACAACAACGAAAAAACAAACCCTTTTCCCAACTACTTGGGGTTGGCTAACTTCAAAGTCATGTAATGTAGTAAAAATGAAAAGACAAAAAAAAAAAAAAGGTTAGAAAATGAATTTTGGATTCTAGAACAAGAAACAAATGCTGTAGTGCACCACAAACTCCGGAGAAACAATGCACACAAAGAAGCAGAACTGTAAGCATATAAATTTCATTGATTGAAGATACACGCAAAGATCCAAATGATGAAGGCTGACAGTGGAAAATTGATATATTAAGAAACAATAAATCAATTTAATTGATTAATTTGCATCTAAGTTCGAACTATGTGCATTAACAACAGATCATTAAAAGATATATCATGCTTGAACTCATTGTCTCTAACCAATACATATGTCCACAAAGAAACTCCATGTTGACAACTCATTGATATGTATTCAGTGACAATTTTTACCCTGCACTAATCGAACAGGAGAGAATAATGGTCAATGATTCTTGAGAATTAACCATCAACCGGTTGACTGAAAACCCTTCATATTAATATCTATAGTTTCTGTCATTCAATCCAAATTTTCTTATCAAAGTTTCTATAGGATTACTCAAAAGTCAACAAAACCTTTTCTCCAATTATTTGGTATTTGCTAGATGAATCCTGTTTTATCATTCCACTAATTGAGGGTCATAACCCCAGAATTACTCAAAAGCTAAAAAAAACCCTTCTTTCCAATTATTTGGGATTTGCTATGTGAATCCTGTTTTATCATACCACTAAATCTAGGGTCATAACCCCAGGATTACTCAAAAGTCAAAAAAACCTTTCTTTCCAATTATTTGGGATTTGCTACGTGAATCATGTTTTATCATTCCACTAAATCTAGGGTCATAACCCCGGGATTACTCAAAAGTCAAAAAAAATATTTTTCCAATTATTTGGGATTTGCTACGTGAATCATGTTTTATCATTCCACTAAATCTAGGGTCATAACCCCAGGATTACTCAAAAGTCAAAAAAAACCTTTCTTTCCAATTATTTGGGATTGGCCGTGAATCCTGTTTTATTATTCCACTAATTCTAGGGTCATTATTTGCGACACGAATCCTGTGAATCTATGGCCTCAGGTAAATGACATACTAAATATCTTTCCTAACTATCTTTCCTAACTATCTCAACCCATGTTAGTTTTGGTAATTCCCTTCCCTAGCATTACCCTTTCTAAGGACCACATCAGTTTTCCTTATCAGTGCATTTATTGGGCAACACTACACATAATTAAGCTATCTTAATCGATTTTCTCTCATTTTATTTCCAATTAGTGCTACTTCAGTCATCTCATGAACATGTTCATTTCTAATGCTGTCCTTTCTTGTTTTACAACCCATCCATCTGAACATTCTCACTTATACTACACGTGTAATTTGTGTAGGATGACTGCTAAAACTAAGCACTTATTTCAATTTTGGTGACAATTATAAAAATAAATAAATAAATAAATAAATAAAAATATGAACGTATACTGACCACTAAGTGGCACAGGAGGAAGAGAAGAAAGTGGATATGGCTAAATGTAAAAGCTTTACAATTTTCTATCACTAATGACACAATTGAAACTAGCCTACCTGTTCCTATCTTTAAATCCACCTAATACCTTCATTTATCATCAGAATCAAATAAGAAAAAATTTAAAACTCATTCAAAAAGACTATTGCAGCTATAAAAAAATAAATAAATAAAATAAAAAAAGGGAAAGAAACATAGACCAAAAACCAAAGGACTGTGACAAAAGTCTATCAAATAGCTGATCCACAGCTTGAAATTGTAATCTTTTTTCTTTTCTTGCAATCACATTTCTAGGAAGAGATGCAAATACACGGAGAAAAGTATTTAGCCCCTCAAATCAATGTCATACAAATACCTTCTTATTTCATTAGCAGGTTTCCAAGCAAAAAAATTGAATCAAAGTGAACACTGAGTTTATTCAAAGGAGTCTATTCGTTGTAATATAGTACACGGATAGTCGGATAGGTAGAAGGGAATCCACAATTTCATTGAATATGTTCCAATTTATTTTTTCTTTTTTCAGTATCATTTTTTTTTTTTTTTCCAATCAATCAATATATTACAATTAAATTCTAAGAGGCCTTGATAATTATGCTCTATTACACAAATATGAAATTGAGAGAGCATTTTCGAATAACTTCAAGAACACTAAAAATATAAACCAATATAAAAAAGTAAACAGATAGAATAAAATTTGAATTGAAAAAGGCATATTAGTGAGCGAGCACAAAACCTTTGACAAGATCCTCCTCGTACTTGTCTGCTAAAACCTTATCAGAACTTTTAGCAGTAGATGAAGCATCTCTCTTTTCTTCCCAGTCGCTTTCGAAATCCAAATCATTTTCTTCAACTTCCCCCTCATCTTCATCAGATTCACTGCCACTGCCATCATCAGGTTCCTCCCAGAATCCTCGGCGGTCCGGCAAAGACGAAGCTTGGATTGAATTCACTGCACAAATGGTTAATTTCGAGTGGTTCTCAAAAGGAGAAAAACCCAAACTTGGTCTTCTTTGAGGAGTGTTTAATTTGAAGAGAATGGTGTCGTAGCTCCAATTTGGGGTTGTAGAATTATTGAGAAGGGCTGGAATTGGGGACAAGGGTTTCGAAGGGAAAGTTGCAGTGACCAATGACACCATCATTAAAGCGGGAAAAAGAGAAATGAATGAGATTTAGTGAATGAAGTTTCAGAAATCGAACATAAAAGTATAGCTAAAGAAACAATCAATCAAATTTTGAATAAAATATTGGAATTCAGGAGCTGTTTTGACAAATTGAATTGCAGTGGGCAACTTTGGCCGTTAAACCCTAAAGGTGTGTTCGGATAGAAGGGGAAAAAAGAAAAGGGATGATAGCATTAGTTAAGAGAGAAAAGAAAAGAAAAGAAATGATAGTAATAATTTTTATTTGTGTTTGGATAGATAAGGGAAAAAAGAAAAAAAAAAAATTATAGTTATTTTTGTTTGGATAAAATAGAAGAAAGAAAAGAAAAGAAAGAATAGTAGACAAATTATTTTTTTACCTTTTCATAATCATGGGATATGGAATAATAAATCTGTATATTGATTTGTGGAGGCTAATTTTGATATTATCAAAATACTACTTAAAATCACTATATTTTTTCTCCCTATTTCTCCCTATTTTCTCAAAATTGAAAAGAAAGCAAATAAGAGATAAGGAGGGATAACTATCCCTCCCTATCCCTCCACTTAACTTACCCAAACACAAACTTACACTATTCTCTTTTTTATTTTCTCTCCATTCCCTTCAAATCAACTCTACCAAACACACCCTAAGGGCCTGTTCGGAAGGCCAAAACGATATTGGTTTTGGTATTTTGGTCCCATATCTCGTTTGGTGTGGGCTGATGTGGTATTGAATAATGTCAAAACAATACTAGATTTGGGCCAAAACTCATATCAAGAATTTGGTGATATTGAATGATTTTGCACTGTAGCGGCGATATCAGATTGGGCCAAACACTGTAGCGCTGGTATCAAGTGATACCAAACACTGTAGCGGTGATATGAGGTATAGATCCAACATAAAACCAGTCGCTATCGTACATCTCCAAATGGGCTTTTTAAATTAGGGTTTTGAATTTGGAAGGGGAAAAGGAGTAGGAATCAATCCTGTCTGTTTGTATGTAGATATATTTACAGAGGAGAAATTAGGTTTGTTTCAACTCTGTTGTGGTATTAGCTTTTCAATTTTAGGATTTCATGGCTCGTAAGCACAGTTTTCACTCGGATGCTTTTGAGAGATCAGATGATAATTCAAAACGGCAAAGACAATCAGATGATAATTCAAAACGGCAAAGACAATCAGATGATGCTTTTGTTTTGCGGAAAGGGAATTCGAAAGAGGAGGATTACAGTATCGTACAAAATCAAAAAGTGAAGTGGGATGCATTAAAGAAGAACATTTATTGCTTAGTGAAGAGGTTATACTCGAAGGATAGACAATGAATGAGCTATTTGCTGAGAATCTGATCCGAGGAAGGGGTCTTTTTTGTCAGTGCTTGATGGAATTCCAGATGGTGTATCCGCTTCACACTGATCTGTTTGCTGCGTTGGTAGCCGTTGTCAATTCCAAGTTTCCGGATGTGGGTCATCTTCTATGCAGAAGGATTCTTCTGCAGATAAAGACAGTATGAACGGAATGACAAGGTAGGTGTTATGCAAATATACATATATTTTTTCTTGTTACTACCTTGTTGCTCTTTGATTAGTTCAACATTTTGCTGATTTTGGTTTGCTTCTGATTGTTCAAATTATTTTTTGGGATTCTTAATTCTCTTATACACGGGTTTCTTTGATTATTTAAACCTTTTGCTGATTTGGGTTTGCTTCTGATGTTTCAAACTTCAAATTATTTTTTGGTATCAGTTTATTGCAGTGACAATTATCACTAGCTCTTAATTGTTAGCACATCTTGTGAACCGGTTCTTTGATTAGTTCAACCTTTTATTGATTTAGGTTTGCTTCTGATTGTTCAAATTATTTTTGGCATTCTTTTATTGACAGCAACAATTATCTATAGCTCTCAAGTTATTGGCACTTCTTGTGAACTAGAAAGTGGTTATTTGATTAGTTCAACCTTTTACTAATTTGGGTTTGCTTCTTATTATTGAAATTATTCTTTTGGTATTCTTTAATTGACACTGATAATTATCAGTAACTCTTAAGTTATTAGCACATCTTGTGAACTAGAAAGTGGTTATGAGAAGTTGTTAATTTCATTTTAGGGTTATAGAATGCTTATAAACAGGCTTAATTGGTTAAAAAATAAGGGCAGCCTCTAAAAAATGACAAAATTCAGAATTAATTAGAGAAATTTTTTTCCCTAGTTGATACTCCATACCCCGCGGCCCCTTCTCCGTCTCAAGGAATTGTTTGCACTCAAGAGGAGTCGAACATTAGAGAAATTTAAATTCTGAAAAGAAATTTATTTCGTTTTAGGGTTTTATAATAAATTTTGAGAAGTTTTTGCTCTCGTCCTATATTTTCGGTTCATAAAATATGTTGTTCCCCATGTCTTTGAAGAGATATGAAGAGGGTCTGATTACGTTGGTTCGGTTATACATTGGAATGCTAACTTCGTAAAATGCCTTGGTTATGCATGGTCAAGATTTTCTCAACTGGCATTTAGGTACGTTAAAAGATGCTTATTAATTGTTTTAAGCATGTACCTTAGTGCATCTTTTGTTAACCAATTGTATGGGTCTGTTTGGTGATCTGAGTATAAAATTGCTTCAATCAATTACTTCTCATAGGCACTTTTTACAATTTTGTTGTTTCACTTTGCAGATTAACAACAATGGCATTTATTTATTGTGCTTCAGTGAAGAATGGATTGCTATAATTATTGCCGTGCAGTTTATGATATGTAATAAGAAAGGATGACAGACACATAATGATTCATTTTCATGTTTTGACTTTGGACTTTGCATGGACTCAATTGTTCATGGGCGGTGTCCCTTGTTGAATTAATTTTGTGGGCGGTGTCCCTTATGTTTATTGTGTTAGGTTCAATTTTGTAAATTTTCATTTTTAAGGGAAAATTATGCCAGATTTTCGAAAAAAAAAAAAAAAAAAAAAAACTTTGATTCCAAAAAGGAATGTGGTTGATTTTTGAAACTTGAAATGGATTTTTGTTGTTTTATGGCTTAGTAGAATGCAGCTTTTCCATGGGAAAACCTAACTCTGCTTTATATTTTGTTATTATAGGTAATGTCTTGCTTTGGAGTGCAAATTCATTTTTTTCTTTTTTCTTAATGCTTCCTTATATCATTTTTTGCAGAATCATAAACTATTGACAACCCAGTACCATGTAATCCATATATGCTCTTGGAAGAACTGGCATTACATTGAAGGACATGGTAGTAAGTTGTGGGCAGTGGCACCAGTGGGATTTATAGGAAGCATTCTTCATTTTCTGCAACTCCAGGAAGCTAGTTATGTCTAAGTTAATCAAATGAAGGCCTATGCAAGTATAAAAAAGTGTGTGTATATTTTATGAAATGAATTTTAGTGATCTCCAATTGTGTGTACATTTTATGTAAGTATAATGAAGTGTGTGTGTACACATACTATTTTTAAGGAATTTTTAGCTCCCTGTATGTGCAAGTATATATGTGAATAGTGCAACAACAATTTATTAAGTTTGTGATGTAAAAAAAAAAAACTTATGGTTTGATGTGTTATTTATGATTGATTAACATCTTACAAAATATTTTCAAGTACTTGTTTGGATGGCAAAATTTTTCTAGCAGGTTGTTTGGTTATCAAAATAAATACTCAAGAAAAGGAGAAATGGTCTCATGAGTTAACAATAAAAATATTAGCACTTTGAAGAATCTCCAGTAGAAAAATTCAAACTAATCTCACTGAAGTAAACCCATTCACAAGTGTATATATATATATATATAAGGGTGAAAGGCACATTAACTTAAAACAGATAAAGCAGATAACATAAATAAGGCGGTGTATAACCGACCAAGATATATATAATATAAAATAAATGAAAGTAAATGTAACTGAATTCAAACTTATAATAGTGAATGTAATTACAACAGAGAATAACTGAAAATAACTTACGAATTACTGATAGTAGTCTGACAAATACAGCATACTGTTGCGGTATTACACTCAGAAAAGATAAATAAAACTGAATTTGAAACTGAGAAAATGTAATGAAGCCTGAAATCTCTCGAATGAAGCCTGAATTGCAATGGGACTGAGCACTGCTTTTATAACCGGGCTCCTGCACTGTTGGGGGATGCTTCAGCACGAATCTTGGCTTTTTGAAAAGTTACTTTTGCTTTTGACAGCTTTTACTATAGATGAATAGTAACTTTCACTGTGGATGAATAGTATCTTGTCGGGGGTACTGTAGAAATAGTGATTCTGCCGACAGTTACTGTAGAAATAGTGACTTTGACTGGTTACGTAGCATTCTTGACTTTTACTGTAGTAAATAGTAACTTTGACCAAATAGTGACTTTTTCTTCCATATCAATTTTCAATTGAATGGATCTAGGTATGGATTTTGACTATCTTGGAATACAGAGTCGTCATACAAATTGACTACTGGGTGACTTGATTCAGCAGCAGAGGAAGCATCATCTGCTTCTTCTTCATCTTTAGACAGCTCTTGGATGCGATCAGTCAGTGAGGCTGCCATTTTCTTGAGTTCTTCTATTTCTGACTTGGGAGCATGTTTCCGTGACTTGGTGGAAACAGTAGAACCAGTAGGGGAAGGCTGTTTCTGTTGAATGACTTGCTTTGTTGGAGGAGTGACTTGTGTCTGTGAAGTAACTTGGTTTAAGGATTGTTTGGGATAATCATCTTCAACATACCCAATAATCCTGTCAAATTTGAAAGTATCCCACCATTTAACATAGTGGCGACGGATGACTATGTTGTCTTAAATATCATAGTGCCATTTAAATATCCATAGGACTTTGTATTTACTGCAAAATAACAAGAGGACTGGAAATTGGGAACTATGTTTATTAACTTTGTGAACTGTGTGAAAGTATTTGACTTGAGCTGCAAGGGAGAGGGGGGAGGATTTCTGGAATAGCACAATGAAGAGTCCACCATCTCAGAAACCAGGTAGGAATTTGACTTTTGAAATGACTGTCAAAATTTATAAACCATGAATGAGTAAATGACTCATTTTGGTATAATAGAACAGAGGACCAGGCTGTCATATAATCATAATATGTAAACTGAATATTATGATCAGGTAAGGGTTGAGGTAAGTAAAGATGACTGCCCCATTCATTCATGGAGATTATTCATTGGATGTCCAGGGAATGGTAAATAAATTTGGAAGAATTATTTTTAT